GAAGGTCAAGGTCATTTATGGATGAAGGTCAAGGTTAGTGTAGTCTACTGCACAAGGGTTGTTGTGGCCAAGTATGAAGACAATACACCAAGAAATAAAAAAGTTATGATCCAGGTACAAGTTTGCGGACGGCAACAGCAACGCCGCCGCGACTATAGCAATACCTCTACTTTTTTTCAAAAAAAAAAAAAAGTCGAGCTTAAACTCAACGGACCATGACCATTTTCAAACTTGACCTGTTTTTTCTCATGATATATCCATATGTCAAATTTGAGTTGAATGTGTGCAACCGTTACTAAGATAATAACTGGAAACTGATGATCACTGAATGACAGAATGACGGAAGGACGGAACAGGGTAACACTATATGCCCCAGCCATTTTATGGCGGGGACATAAAAATTATACTGAAGCCAAAAAGGGCCATCAATTTACATACCACGGTATCATAGTGCTCTCCGTTTGAGCTCCCATTCAAAACATGGCTGACATAGATAAAACATAGCTGATTCTAATTTAAATCATCGAGTGATTCTAGGTATATGACATTTTGTACAATTTGCTGGAAATAATAAGAACAATGGTACCATAAGGGACCATCCTATCAGACACGTTTCTGTTTTTCCATGAAAACGTGTGCATGGTTCCTACTTAACTAAATGACCTGTGGCAAGGATACTCCTGTATGCTACTTTTGACTTACAGTTAAGTTCAACAAATAGACTTGTCAAAGATATATCATTAGTTTGTGTGAATAGACCATCAACCAATTCCATTGTCTTTTAATGAAAGATGAACAATAATTTGTTGGCAATAGAACACCTGAGTAATGTATGTTTATTTAAGCACATTGGTATTAGGAAACATCTAGGAACCCATATTACCCTCAAAATGATAAGTGTTTTCATCATCTTTTTCATGATTAATATTGGTTTATTTTATGTCTTATAGTTTAATTATTTCATATAACAAAAACAGTTCAGTGTTTTTTCAGTCATTCCATAAATTAAAATACAGAAAAGAAATTTGTATTGGGCATTTTCAGCAACAGGCAATAATGTCACTTGCTATAAAAACAAGAGCTGTCACAGGAGACAGCGAAGCTCGACTAATGAAATACTGGATGCAGTTATGAAAGAAAAATCAATTATGTATCATTATGTATTAAGTTATAGTAAAAAAATAACATTTGTTAACATAAATTCCAAGTTCAAGGGGGAATAATTCTGGAAATAGTCATGCTAGAGTTATTAACCTTGTCACACAACATGTGTGTAATGATAAGAAATATATATTTGAAGTTTGAAGTAGATAACTTAAAAAGTAATAAAGAAGTTATAATATTTCTTAAAGAAAATCCTAAGTTTGAAGAGAAATAAATCTGAAAATATTGCTTCATGAGTTATGAACCTTGTAACATAAGATGTAATTGATGATAAGGAATAAGTATTTAAAGTTTGAGGTAGATACCTTTAAAACTATAAAGAAGCTATAGTAAAAAATAACATTTTTCAAGTAAAAAATATCTTAGTTTATGGGGAGATAATTCTTGCAATATTAATGCTAGAGTTATGAACCTTGTCACATAACACGTGGTTAATGATAAGGAACACATATTTGAAGTATGAACTTGATCCCTTACGAAATATATATATAAGTAAAGGAACACATATTTGACGTATGAACTTGATCCCTTAAGAAATATATAAGTATATAAGTAAATGAAAATCCTATGTTCAAGGGTAGATAAGTCTGAAAATATTGGTGCTAGAGTCATGAACCTTGTCACATAAGACGTGGTTGATGATAAGGAACATATATTTGAAGTTTGATGTTGATACCTTAAGAAATGAAAAAGTAATAGTGAAAAATATTTTACTGCACCACCAAAACTTTAATCTGAAATCCGGACGCGGACACCGACACCGGGGTGAGTAGGACAGCTCTCCATATTCTTCGTATAGTTGAGCTAAAAATCCAAGCCATTTTAAGAGCTACATTTGTATTTGAAAATGAGCTAGAAATACTATTCATGATTATTTATAAGATCAGAGAAATAGTTTAAGCAAGAAGAATAAGACTAAAATTAAAATCTTTTTTTTTAAACAATAGCAAGAATTTTTACTTCAAATGCAAACTTCTTCTTTTTTTAAAGATCTTGTTGATAGCATTTTTGTGCTCCATATTCATTTCCAACTGTCTAATGTTTAATTCTTAAATATTTGCTGCAATACACTAGATGCAATATGCTTAAACTGAAATGACTAGAAGCTAACCACAAAATACTAAACAAACTATCATTTAATATGAGCCTTATAACTTTATTAAAATGCATTTATTTTAGCAGTGCAATTCATTGCTAAATTTGATGTTGTATTTTTTACTATACTTTAATAATAGCATAATATCTATGCCAAATGTATGCATTGTTTAGTCCTGTATGAACCAAGATTTATTAGATCCAGTCACTTCAATAGTGGGAACACAAAAATACAAACCTTTTATGTACATACTTTGTGCATTTTGATTGTAAAGTTTGATGTTTTAAAATAGTCTGTCTCAGGTGATAGTTGTTTCAAAAAACTTGCCCCTTTAAGGGACTACCTTGGACTGAAAATTTAGGGAGAAGTGACTTCTCGCTTCAGGAAAAATAGGGAGAAGTTTTGAAATTTAGGGAGAAGTGATCATCAAATCGAGTTATTTCACAAAATATACATGTACACCGTTATATGCAGGGGCGTACCTCGGCTTTTTATGAGTGTACGCCATGGCCCGGTTTTTGTCCGAAGGATCGCCAGAGACTTATATATCAAATATAGCTATGTGCTATAACTAAGGATTTAGGGGATATTTAAGCTAATTGTACTACTATTGTCGTTATCTATAATTATGAAAGTAACATCAAGTACATATATGGAATGTAAGAGAAATAGCACGAAGTCTAACGTGTGCACTGTTTTAAATAGTTCAAAAGTTATTTGCTTTAAGAAAAACAAAACATACTAGCCAGGTATCTCTCTTGTAAAAATGATCTGCTTTATTTCCTTTTGTAACAAGTTTAGTTTTTTCTTTGTTATTTCTCCTTTGTTTCACCATAACTTAACGTGTGATATAATCAAGGAAAATATGCTTTAAAATGATCTGTATGACTTTAATACAAACACAATATCTTAAATGTTTAGTGTAACGAAGTTATCGTATTCACAGCTAAAATGTAGTACTTATCGCACGATAATTTACCTTCCTTAAAATATTTTTAATGCGTATTATGTCAATGTTGTAGACAATAAATATTGTCTTTAACATTTTTGTTCTCAACTCCAGTCTTTCAATTCCCATTCGAAATATTTAGGTTATATATATATGGATGTTGGGAATAGTTCACTGCAAAGATCTGATTCACAGTGTCAAAACTATTCTACCTAATTTGAATTGAATATAAGTTGAATGAATATAACTATCTTAAAAATGATATACTGATTTATAGTTAAAAGGTAAAATATAAAAAGACATTCCATACAGCTAACTCACTCCCTTCCATTGTGCTGCAAGCGCCAAGTTGCAAACAAGATCTTTATTTTGCATATAGATCTAGATGTAAAAAATGAAATAAATATTTACTTTTCACTGATTTGATTCTTCTGAAAAAGAAAATGATTGTAATATATTGGACAATTTCTTATCCTTATTTGGATTTTGACGAAGTTTATTTGCATTATATATATAACGCTTAACTCGAGCTGAAAAGAGAGAAAATTCCAAAGAAATTGTTTATATTTTTACTCCCTTTCTTCATAACTGAAGTTTTGATTGTGCATAAAAAGGTAACACATATTCGAATAAGGTAACATCCTGAGCTAGCAGCTACGAATATGTTGATCGATCTACGCCAAAATTAATGATTTCATTTTTTGAAATTTTATTTTTTTTCGAAACTGATATGTACATGCATATAAAATATACATGTATATGGCATGGAAAATAAACAAATGTGTATTTGAAAATCGCTATGATGATATTGAATGAAGTACTAGTTGCTCAGTAAAGTTTATTTAAGCATTTGATTAACATCAACACAACATTTTTAAATTTTTTTTTAGGTTCAACAGTTTCTGACTCTAACTTTTAAATGCAATTTATTAAGAAGAAAAGTTCTTTTATTCATAATAATTATCCAAATTCTATCAATATACATCGGTTTTAATGATGAATATTACTATCATAAATGTAATGGTGATAAACGTATATTGGATATTGAACGTAAATCAAACAGGACATATATGGGAACTAGTAAATCAAACAGGACGTATAGGGGAACTAGTAAATCAAACAGGACATACAGGGGAAATTGTAAATCAAACGCAGGGTCTTTCACAGCTTTAATTTGCCGTATAACCAATGCGCTATTTTTAGCGATGTGGATTTCCAAGTGTGAATTCCAAATGTTGCTAGAATATCGCTTATCAGATCATATAGGGCGAAGTGAAAATATTTACGGCGAAGTTTTCGCCTGACTTCGCCCTGAACGCAGTCCCCAGTGAGTGAGTTATCATCATGGGAGAGAGTCCCATCATGGATTTTTAATTCTTTCATGTGAAAAAGCTGTCAACCTAGCTTATGAAATTTCAGTGGTTCTACTCAGGTGCCTGCTTATGCCTGAAAAAAATGCAGGAAAGCATCTGAGGTCTTCCTCCACCAGTAAAGCTGGAAAGTCACCATAAGCCAATGCCCGTGTTGGTGTATCTTAAAAACCAAACAAACAAGCATTTGTACTTGTTTACTAAGTATCAAACATATGATAACCCTGGAGAAAAGATTAGTAAGTTTCAAATTCCTTCCATTGGTTCAAAAGATAAAGTCACAAAATTGCTTAAAGACAACCAGGTGCTTAACAATAATACCCCAAAATAATTTTAGGCATATAAAAAATCTGATCTAATAGCACAACAATTTTTTTTAAGTTTTTGTAGTGTATATAGTAATCTATGAAAAGAATCAAACCTGATTTATTTTGTGCTGGACAACTGAAAGCAGCTTTAACAAACCCTAAAACAGCAATCACATACAGGGGTAGACTCACATGCAAAATCAACATGTTTGTCAGCTAGGTCTCAAAATCTGAAAAAAAATGAAGAAAAATCAAGTTCGATTATTTTAATAAAGCTATAAAATTATGAATGTATACTTCCATTGGTATGACCATCTTAATGTACACTATAAGAAATGGAAAACTACTATAAGAAATGGAAAACTAACAGTATCTGTACATGCCTTCAAATAAAGAATGAGGCAAAGGAATAGATAAAATAACAACTTAAAACATTGCCAAGAAGACAAAATGTAGAACATAAATGTTTGTGTTATTTCAAACTTAAAATCAACAAGTAGGTAACTGGTAATGTTTGTATGTGTATACAAAGTATCTGAAAGTAAAACTCAAATCACAGTATACAGTAGTGTTTAAGACTGGAAAGTGAAAAAAGTGAAAGTGTAGTCCCTTTTAAAATTATTGAGAACCAGTAATGTAGGAGTGCAATTAATATAAATATTGTGGTTGTTTACAAGTAAACATCTTAGACCCTTGTTCAAAGTATTTGTAAGTTTATCATTATCAATTTAGATGCTATTGAAAAAATGGTAATTCTTAAATAGCCAAACAGAAATATTGTTAGTAATTAATCCGAGGACAATTCTCATTGGGTTATAGATTTCCCATCATTCTTTCATGATTATTGTTCCACGCCCACAGCCTAAATTTCGCACTTTAGAGGCGATAATTATCGCATGTTTAAATTCCGCTAGTCTCTTATGCGACAATGAATTAGCACCCTTCAATGCGATATTTATCACGTGAGGAACACACAACATACGAAAATTAATTCAGATATAGGTATCTGCAACCAAGGTCAATGTCATAGGTGCCAAGTTCAGATGAAAATATGAAAATGTGTAATTCTTAACTAAGTCCTAACTTATCTGATAGTATCACCAGTCAGTCAATGGATTTTTACTTCATAGAAAGTTATTTGCTTACTACAAATATACAAACTTTATAACATACCTGTAGTAATCATTCAATTGAGAGACTTTTACAGCAAAAGATTAAAAAATTTCTTTGCACTGATTCCGAGAAAAATTAACATCTTCCTAATATTCACGCTTTTCACATTTGTATAAGTTCTTTATCATTCCTGCAGCATACATAACTGTAAATTTTATTGGGTCAAACACATCAGAATATTATTAAAGAAGATAGACTTAACCTAATTTTAACATATCATGCTAGCTATATGAGTATTTATCTGGGCAAAATCCGGAAAATATCTGAATATTTTATTATCTCTAGTGACCTTGACTTTGCAAATATTAACCTGTATTACATGTGTCACACTTTTAGTCATGATAATTATCATTTGTGTTACAATCCATCAATAAATGATGACTAAATGGTCCATATACACAAACTTTGACCTCTCTATGTGACCTTAACTTTTGAAGCAGATTATGTGCGCAATACTTAGCTTGACCTTGGTCATAGGCACTTGAATTTTGCATGCAACACTTGGCCTTACCATGGTGAACATTTGTGCCAAGTTATATTGAAATCCCTCTAAAGTTTTTCTCCGAACTAGCGTTTTTCAATGACCTCTCATTGTGACCTAGACCTCTGACCTAGAGACCTGGTTCATGATCATGACACTGCTTCTCATAATGGTGAACATTTGTTAGATGTTTCATTGACCTTGCATATATTGACCTAAATTACATGTTTCACACCAGTAGTCATGGTAATGACCATTTGTGTTTCAATCCCTCAATAAATGATTGGCGTCCGCGCCGAAGCGCGGCGCCTTTTATGTAATGAAATCAGATTTTGTGAAAGGGCGACAGCATCTTCTCGAGCCTTTTATAGTTGTTCATAATAAAAGCCGATCATTCCGATCGGCATGAGGGTGCTTGATTATTAATTAGTCGCGAATAGCGAACTGGAGAATTTCGCAATGCAAACATTTTCAAATGAAATCACCTTTTCCGTCAATAAATCGCGCTCTTCGGGGTATTTCTATTTATCATTTTGTAGCACACAGTGGGTTATTATGGTATGTTATTCCGAAAGCTGTAGATAGAATGATGAGTTGATGACCTAAATATTCCGAAAATCTACTTATAGACGGATGCACTCCTATCGGTAATTCCCGGTCTCTCCTGGTCTATTTTGACCGGGGGCGAATAGTACCACGTCACGTTTATTGTCCAGTCTCTCCCGGTTTTGGAGTAGATGTTTGATATCGTTACAGAACAAAACAAATATTTTACAGATAAATAAGCTTTTTTTTCAAAATGAATGTTAGTTTGGTTACAATGATTAATAAACACAGATCAACTCTCAAATTTATTGATTATCGCATGTTTTATTTTATCTATATGAGATCAAAACAATAAATATGTACAATAATTGAGAAAAAATGTACATTTTTATGGCATTAATATGACACTATCAACTTTGAAACATTTTATTTTATTTGTTATTCGTGTTTAGTAAAGATGCCGAGGAATTATTACAAATCAAGTACAAAAAAGTTACAAATCAGATTTTTATGAATAATTCAATTGATTGATAATTTAAAAAATGATAAAGAAAAATACAAAATTTTATGTACATGTATATGGTTTAAGAATAAACAATATTATATATTGAAAGATTAACCATAGTTTACTGACTTTTTCCAGTTAAGTTTTGACTTAATTATAATCGTCGGTCAATATGACAATTGAATTCTTAAAACAGTAGTAAACGTAAAAACTCAGTATTAAAATAGCGCATAAAACAAAAAAAAAAGAAAACAATATTCATAAAATCTGTATTTTTTATAAAAATAAATATTACAATTATTGTATAATAAACAATTATGCTCAACATGATCAACATGGTAATATAACAAATGTCATATTGTTACTAAGTGTGAACAGATACCTTAAGAGGGGGTCTTCGCTCATAGCGATAAAATAATAAGGGACAATTACACAAGTGTGGTGCTGATCATGCGTTACATATATGGATTATAAATGATTGTATACATGTATGTCCGTTGCTATTAATAACCACGATCATAAAGAAATAACAAGTAATATTCTAATTTCTAGCATGCCAATCAAAGTTTTAAGTAATGAACAATGTCTTTCGTCCGTTCATTCATAAGTGATATACAATTCTGGTAAAAACCAATGAACCATTGAAAAGTTTAAAAGAATATCTTGTCATCATATATCTACTAGTTCATCTGCACTTGCTGCATTTCTTGCTTGGACGCCCTTTGATGCTTTGCATCAATGCTTTTCTTGTGACTTAATGGTCCGAATACACATTTTCATATTTTTATCTGAACTTCGACCCCTATGTGTGACCTTGACCTTGGTTGCAGATACCTAAATTATGCTCGTGACACTCAGTCTTGCAATGGTTAACATTTGTGCTAAGTTATATTGAAATCACTTTATGCGTATAGTAGTTAAGCTCTGGACAAGTTTTTTTTCAAGGACCTCTTAGTGTGACCTTTGACCTAGAGACCTGGTTCACGTGCACCACACAGCTTCTCATAGTGGTGAACATTTCTATGAAGTTTAATTAAATATCCTCAATGCATGTAGGAGATATGATCTGGACAAGATTTGGAAAGCCAGTGCAGAACACAGTTTCAGAAATTCTCAAGATGTTGACTAAGTCACTTGCCAGATTTTAATGCATGTTATCACTGATTTAAATTTTAAGTGTACAACAACATTCAAAGGTTTCTCTCCATGTAATACAAGTAAAATGGTTTCCTGCGGGGGAAATTTTTTATAATTTAAAGATACTTCATTTAACTCTTTAAAAAAATACATTTGTATCATTCAAGAATATAGTTGACAAAAATCGATCAATAGAAAAAGGTCTTGGGAGACCGTCGACCGTCGGAGACGGGAGAGGGCGATTAGTAGGTCGACTGTCTGTATCATTCACAAATTGCAAGTACCTATCTGTGTGTTTTTGGTATTTTTTGGATTTAAGTGAAATAAAACAATTAATTCTTCTTTAAGAAAATGATTAACTGTATTATATTGTATGAATAATTCCATGCAAAAAATAATAAAGAAATAAAATAAAGTAAACACACAAGTTTACGCAGAATATATATCTATTATTTGGCAGATGCCACTTAGAACGAATGTTTCAATATCGTACATTTTTATTATATAAACAATGTTTTTTTGTAAAATTTAAGATAGATATTAAAGGAACATTGATAATTTTCAAACACATCTATTTTATCCACCTCAAACAGTAAAATAATGATAGAAAAAAAGAAATGTCACTTATAGTAATATGCACTCATAATTAGGTTTAATTTCCGAGAGTTAAATCCGTAACGTACCGGTAAGCGGCGTTAAGCTACTATGTGTGACCTTGACCTTGGTTGCAGATACCTAAATTATGCTCGTGACACTCAGTCTTGCAATGGTTAACATTTGTGCTAAGTTATATTGAAATCACTTTATGCGTATAGTAGTTAAGCTCTGGACAAGTTTTTTTCAAGGACCTCTTAGTGTGACCTTTGACCTAGAGACCTGGTTCACGTGCACCACACAGCTTCTCATAGTGGTGAACATTTCTATGAAGTTTAATTAAATATCCTCAATGCATGTAGGAGATATGATCTGGACAAGATTTGGAAAGCCAGTGCAGAACACAGTTTCAGAAATTCTCAAGATGTTGACTAAGTCACTTGCCAGATTTTAATGCATGTTATCACTGATTTAAATTTTAAGTGTACAACAACATTCAAAGGTTTCTCTCCATGTAATACAAGTAAAATGGTTTCCTGCGGGGGAAATTTTTTATAATTTAAAGATACTTCATTTAACTCTTTAAAAAAATACATTTGTATCATTCAAGAATATAGTTGACAAAAATCGATCAATAGAAAAAGGTCTTGGGAGACCGTCGACCGTCGGAGACGGGAGAGGGCGATTAGTAGGTCGACTGTCTGTATCATTCACAAATTGCAAGTACCTATCTGTGTGTTTTTGGTATTTTTTGGATTTAAGTGAAATAAAACAATTAATTCTTCTTTAAGAAAATGATTAACTGTATTGTATTGTATGAATAATTCCATGCAAAAAACAATAAAGAAACAAAATAAAGTAAACAGACGCAGAATATATATCTATTATTTGGCAGATGCGAATGTTTTAATATCATACATTTTCATTATATAAACAATTTGTTTTTTATAAAATTTGAGATAGATATTAAAGGAACATTGATAATTTTCAAACACATCTATTTTATCCACCTCAAACAGTAAAATAATGATAGAAAAAAAGAAATGTCACTTATAGTAATATGCACTCATAATTAGGTTTAATTTCCGAGAGTTAAATCCGTAACGTACCGGTAAGCGGCGTTAAGCTACTATGTGTGACCTTGACCTTGGTTGCAGATACCTAAATTATGCTCGTGACACTCAGTCTTGCAATGGTTAACATTTGTGCTAAGTTATATTGAAATCACTTTTTGCGTATAGTAGTTAAGCTCTGGACAAGCTTTTTTCAAGGACCTCTTAGTGTGACCTTTGACCTAGAGACCTGGTTCACGTGCACCACACAGCTTCTCATAGTGGTGAACATTTCTATGAAGTTTAATTAAATATCCTCAATGCATGTAGGAGATATGATCTGGACAAGATTTGGAAAGCCAGTGCAGAACACAGTTTCAGAAATTCTCAAGATGTTGACTCAGTCACTTGCCAGATTTTAATGCATGTTATCACTGATTTAAATTTTAAGTGTACAACAACATTCAAAGCTTTCTCTCCATGTAATACAAGTAAAATGGTTTCCTGCGGGGGAATTTTTTTATAATTTAAAGATACTTCATTTAACTCTTTAAAAAATACATTTGTATCATTCAAGAATATAGTTGACAAAAATCGATCAATAGAAAAAGGTTTTGGGAGACCGTCGACCGTCGGAGACGGGAGAGGGCGATTAGTAGGTCGACTGTCTGTATCATTCACAAATTGCAAGTATGCATTCATAATTAGGTTTAATTTCCGAGAGTTAAATCCGTAACGTACCGGTAAGCGGCGTTAAGCTAGATTTTCGAAAAGGTCAATAAACCAATCATGTATGGTTTACAGATTACGTGCTCCTCCATGTACCAAAAACTGGTCGCGTGCTCCTCCATGCCTCAAAAATTAATGGCGTACCACGCTCATTCTCAATAAAACACAGCATTTGATGTTCCACTGGGTAGCTCTTATAATTAAGAAGGTTTTTATTGAGGTCAAAATGTCGTTAGAAAGGTGGCTGCCACTTTGTCTTACAGGGACACTCTCAGTTTTACATTTCTATCTGTTATTTTTCTTTTACAAGTACCATTAATGCCCTAAAATGTAACATACGTTACTGTCGCCACCTAGAATTTTCAACTTTGAAATTGTGTTTCAGAAAAATAAGTTCCAGAATAAACGAAACATGTGCAATTAGTCATTGCTGTGTGTATATGAAGTTTGATTATTGGTAAAAATTATATTTGACTGTTAAAATCTCATTGATATATTGGATGATCAAATGTCGCCAAATGCATATAAATAAATAGTAACAAACCTAAAACAATAAGAAGTGAAACCGAAATTACATAATTGTATCGATGCATGCTTAATAATACAGCATATATATAATTAATTATGAGTAGAAATAAGCTTGCGGCCTCTCAAATATCATTCTATTTTCGGAAATTTTCATTTTTTATTCAAATCTTTTCAACAGCATTTAGAAGAAACATACGTTACCATTATTTAAGAGCCAATCCATTCAAAGAAGAATCCAAACAAGAAGGAAAATTAACATGTGTGTAACTCGATATATTAACCACAAATTATGGCGGGTTAAACGGTCTTGCGTCATTTTTAACCCACTTTCAATGTAAAAATGTAACATACGTTACAGAAACATACGTTATCAACTTTTTAAAGTAAGTTTATCAGAAGGGAAATTGAAGTCAGAAAGCACGTATAACAGCAACATTAACTTCTATTTGACATTAGTAAGTAAATTTTGTTAACTTTGGTCGAGTTTTAACATGTTTAAGTAACCACAGTGAAACAAACGTTACTTTTATCAAACAGACTTTATATTGTTTGCACATGCATATATAAAAGCATAAAATCGCATTTTATGACAATAGAATGATGTACATTTGATTCCTTAATAAAAAAAAGTCGATTTTACAGGTAAGTTTCAATTCCGTGATAAAGTTCATAAATAAGCGAGTGTGAAACATACGTTACTCCAACTTACAATTCAACAATTTTTGAAAATTTAAGATAAAGTTGGGATTAGCATGCCTGTAAGTAACAGTTACCTTGTATTAGATATAAGAAGATACAAAATTGCTTTTACAAAGGAAAGATATGTTATTAATATGTTGATGTACCAGCACGGTCCAGCAGAAATATTAAAAATATATTACAAGATATTGATGTTCTCAGCAACAACTAATTCGTTTCTGCAAAGAGCTTACTGGCCGTATTTCATTTATATATAATAATGTTAAAATAATATCCATAAATATAAATTATTTTACAAAAAATAAAATTGTTTTCTCAACCTTTACTTGCATTTGAATAAAATGAAACATACGTGACATCCTATATGGGGATAAATATAGAACTGCTTAGCAATAAATTTTCCAAATATTAAGAAAGCGGAAAGTTGAATGTTTTGAAAAAAAATGCTAATACAACATTTGTGTATGCATTCGACCTCTCATATATTATATATATCCTTTGAATGAAGACATAAAATAATCATTTCCAAAATTGACTATTTTGCTTTCTACGAATATTTAACTTTGAAGAAATTAACTGAAAATCAGCAAGGTACCCAACTTCCTTGAATTTTCCTGGGTTAGAAAGTCCCTCTAGATAGAGAATTTACAGATTTTGATATATTTTACAGACATTTGTTATTGATATGCAGCCAATATGTTACATTATTAGATCTGAAATCTACGTTACCAAAGAAATACAGTGTCATTACCGAAATAAATGCCATCCTGTTATATTATAGTTTCTTGTTCAAACTATTTCTGGCAAACTTGCAAAATACCCTAAACTTTTACTTCAGCGATAAAAAATGACACAATGACGACATCAAATTTTTAATATTTTTCAACCTCAAATGCTTTATTTTATTGAGAATGGGCGACCAACACCCTGCGGGCTTTAGTCCACAGGGAATAAAACCCCATGATAAATTCAGATTTCTATCACTACAGCAGCACCTGTCATTACTGACAACAGTTATTCCCTGTGGTAATTGTGATACTATTTGCCAGCCTCTAGAATTATCCTGTCTTAAGAGATATCAAACGAGAATGGAGACCGGAGGAGACAGCCTCATCCAAGTACAGAATGACGCACACATAAAATGACAGCAAAGGAATGGTCAGCTGTGCACTGCATACGTTCAGAATGAATGACGTCACATTGTATTATTATTTGGCACCCTTTTCATTTAGTACTAGGTTAAAATGTGTTTTTAAACGTTTCTTTGCATATAATAAAAAGAAAATTTGTTTAATTTAATGTAAGATCGAATTAATTTCACCTTGTGAACACCAAAAGTTCATCACGGATTTACAATATAAATCCGTGAGTTCATATATACCTTTTGGTGCTCACTCCGTGAAATATATTCCAATCTTACACTGAACTAAACAAATATCCTCTATATCTTTTGGTCTCTTGAACTATCTAGATATATGTTAATGTTTTTAAAGGTGTAACAAACAATTTAAGGCACTTTAATCCTCATTATCAATTTATTATTATTATATTTTATTATCCCCCAAAATTGGAGAGCGTAACATATTTACAAAGTATATATATGTACATACAACAGAAGAGAATTATATACAAATGCATAACATTGTAATATAAAAGATACAATAACATGAAATTCTTTTACAATTGTAAACGTATGACTTATGAGTGTAAATTGTTGTCTTAAACGAAAGCGAAAGTTAAGTCTATGATAATGTTGTGCGTGGGAGACAACATGCAGTAACTTCATGCTATATTTGTGATCGTGGCAGCACAAGTCTAATTAGTTGGATCACTATATGTTAAATACATGTAGTTGTTAATTGATAATAGTCTAATGTCTGTTTCATGTATTGTTTTGTGTCTTGCTTCTTAATTAATCGTTTAAATAAAATATAAATAAATTTTTATTTAAATTAGTTGTTAATAATTGTTTGTTTGTTTATTTTTTTAAATACTCAGTAAAGTTTATGTTCTGCTCTGTTTGAATCGATTACTTTCCCCCATTCTATTTCCTACTATTTTAGCTTCATTCTTGTAAAAAAAAATCATGATTTAATTAATAAATCAATTGATTCATTTATTTATTGAACTGATCTCAATATTGATATTCCGGTTAGACTTATTTTGAATGTGGCCGATTTGGTGAAGGGCCGAAACGTCTGGGGACGAAACGTCTTGGGTAAGTAGAGATCGAAAATCCATGGAAAATCCTAAATGTCCTGTTAAGTAGAGTAGTAAATATACTCACAAATATTGTCTGATATAAAAATCCCTATTGCTATGGTAAACTTAAAACAAATTTCGATAAGACTTTCTGTTATTAGATCTTTTGTGTTATTTCCACTGAAACTAGTCGTGTCTCATGATGATATACTTCCGCATAAGTTGTACTTTGAACCTACCTAAAAGACACGGCCCCGCTTGATCTAATAATTCCACAAATGTCCACTGAAACTAGATCGCTCATATATGAATGAGGGTGAGACTTCGACGAAATTATACTTCCGCGTACTGTACTGGGGATCTACCTAAAAGACGCGCTTGATATAGTTCCATAATCACTTAGGCCTACTGTACAGTACTGTAAACGTTCTTCTTTAATTGCTGTGATGCATTCGATACGAAAGTTACTGAAAGTATAAAATCTCAAATAGAGCAAAATTTACTGGTCGGGCACCATCAACCGGACACTTTTTGAAAAAATTTTTTCATACAGATTTCAAAATGATCGGAAAATTCGACACAGTATATCTACTCCTCTTTTTTTTAATGCGTTTATTTAAGGTCGCCGCCGAAAAGCCCATATGGGCGACCGTACACTCAAGTCGGTCCATCCTAGAGCGCCCCGCCGAGATTTTTTCGTCGATTTTTTTCCATCTTTATTGGTGGAGGGCATTATTTCAGGCACGAGCGGGCACCTGGGTAGAACCACCGACCTTCCGTAAGCCAGCTGGATGGCTTTCTCGCATGAAAGATTTCGACCCATGTGATGATCGAACCTACAGCGGTGAGGGACCTGTGATTTCAAGTCAGCGACCTTTACCACTCGGCCACAAAGGCCCCATAGATCGACTCCGAACTCTTATGACACTTATATATGAGGCCCGTCAAGGAGGGTATCAAAATTACCTAAATTGCGCACACTATGTACAGTACCATGTTACGGACAGATATGAAATGACGCTGATTTAATTCAGATAAAAGCTTGGGTGTGTTATTTTTTTTTATTTAACATGGTGTAATAAATGCTGAAGTTTTTGATAGCTTATTGTTTACTGTAAATGATTAAAACTATAAGAGGGCTAGCTGGTAAATACGTCCAAATTTTCAACGTATAGACATTAAGCTATTACTGTTTACATCAATTGAAACAAGAGCTATCACTAAATGTGATTAATACCTAGTACATAAAAGAATTGAAATAGAGTTATGGTTGTGATTAATACATTGTAAAATAATTGAAATAGAGTTATAGTTGTGGACAATTTTAGATAGTTGTAGTTCTTGTATATTGCATTTCCTTTCACCGTGGTTGACCATTGATGAAGTTTTATTGAATTACTTTGTAATAAGTCCAGAAAGAGTTACGGTTCTTTAGCACTGCACTTCCTCTCATTGCACTTTAAAACCATTGTATGAAGTTGCATTGAATTCCATCCATTAATTTTCCAAGTTATGCAATGGACAATAAAAAGTACAAAGGGCAATAACTCTAAAATGAGTCAAGAAAGAGTTATGGTTCGTGTGCATTGTGCTTCCTCTCAATATACTTGACCATTGTACGAACTTGTATTGAATTCCAACCAGTACATTTCATGTTATGCTCTACGACAAGGAAAAGTATGTAAAGTGTATGTATATGTATTCTAGTCTTAATGAGGGTCCATTCACCCTTTCAGGCACTGAGAGTACGGACCCCGGACATGTCACCATTCATGTCCTTAAATGTTACTATCAATCAAAAGGTGACCTGTTTAATTCACTGAATAGGTATGCAAGTTGATTTTTGTGATGATACAATTTTGATGCACGGGCGGCCAATGAAACCATTATATGCATCATGGAGAAAAATAAATGATGATAAGATTATGCAACTCGGACTGATACCTGACACATATTTTCCGTATGCACGACCGACATGCACGAGCATTCTTTCAAGGCTTTCACAGGTGAATTTGTAATGAAATTTTAGCCAACCATTGGTTTCTTTTTCAATTTTGTGTAATAATAATAATGAGAATATCCCAAAACTGGTGAAATATTATGCTCCTGACAAGAAAAAGCAATGGAAAAGTAACAAAGGGTAATAACTCTGTTATTACTGTAACGTGCACGGGCTAGCTGTTATATATATATAATTCTTCTCATGGCTACTTTGCCAGTTGACAAATGATTATAAAATGATTTTTTCAAACTTTGAAATCAAGTTTAATTAACAATTGTTTATAACAGTAACGTGCCTTTATAGCTGATGTGCTTTATTTGAACTTTATATAGAATTTGGGTGACACTTTTTAGGCTATTTAATATAATTATAGTTCTTGTGTAATGCACTTCCTCTTATTGTGCTATGAAATTGTTTGGAAATCCAACCAGCACTTCTCAATTTATGCTCCGGGCAAGGAAAAGTATCAAAGAGCAACAACTCTGTAATAAGTCAAAATGAAGTTGTTACAGTTCTTATGCACTGCACTTCCTCTCAATGTGCTTGACAATTGTATGAAGTTGTAATGAATTCCAATTAGTGGTTTTCAAGTTATTCTCTTGACAAGAACTTCTGTATAAAAATCATGCAAATAAATGGAGATTAAGTATAGGTTAAAGTTTATAAGAATGAAATTGGTCAGACGCGGCGCAATTTATTTTTGTAAATACGTAACGTGTTACTAATAAATTTTAACCGGCTTAGTGTTTTAAATTATTTTTATAAACAGCAGATTAACAGTTTGCCGATTTACCAAAGTAAATGTGTTACGATTCATTTAAAATACTGCAATCCTTTTGGGCAAAAAATATTTCAAACACTGAATCATCATAAAGATTATAGGATTGCAGTATTTCAAATGGCGCCTGACCAATTTCTTTTGTAAATTTATATTTATACGTACTAATAAACTTAAACCTATACATAAAGATTATTTTTGAAAATAAATATTATTAATGATCAACATTATTTTTTGTCCAATCACATTGTAGTATTTTTCAAATTTCTGCTAAGTCTAACTTTGGTTAATGTGCATTAACTAAATAAAATTTACTTAATCTGTCGTCTAACCAGTCTTAGGGCCCGTCTACACCTATCCAAGTCTTGAATGCAAGTATCATATATTCTCTTGTATTGCATAGTGTAGACACCCTACTTGAATGCGTTTTATGGAGAAATTATGTGACATCCAAGATCAATACACTGATACACAGAAGAGCAAAATAAATAAATAAATAAATAAAATATCAGTTTTTCAAATAGTCAAAATGATTTTTAAATGATCTTGTTCATTTAGTGAATAAGTTTCATCAAATAAAGAATTTGCATTATTTTTCGCACATTTTCCATTATTTTAAAGGAATGCACACATTTCAATTTCATTTACTCCATTGTTTTAGCTAATTGCATCATTTTCCCGCTTTTTTATCAACACATTTTACGGAAACATGATAGTATTGCAAAGACAAAGGTATAGATCCTGGGCAATCTTAATTAGACATTTCAGTAAAAATTGTGCCTGATTAAATATTGGAAGGGGCATTTATTTTGAATCATCCAGTCAGCGATGATTTTGAACATGCGTCATCCGCTCCAGATAAAATATACCAACATATTTATTCCTTACAGCCTGTTTGGAATTAAGAGAAAAAAATACAGAACAATTTACTTAATGAAATGACATTTTAAAGACAACCATGTATTATATATAATAATTGATTGTAGTATAAGCTTCAGTCCAGTTTTAAAATATCACATTATGTTACAGGAGAATATGGTCGTTTTCATTATCAAATGCAGTTGTTGTTAAATGCAAGGGAGAGTAGTTCTAATGTAACCAGAGCCAAGACATTTTATTTGTTCAGTTATGTACCTTTAAATATTATACATTGAACTTTATAGTTTGGAGTTAGGGTCATCGATAGGCACCAACATCCTTGGCATCATTGCGCAAGAGAATACACATAGGTGCATGTAAAGGCACCTACAATCATTCAGTCACAATTCCGATATATAAACAAATTACCCATTACAATGTAAAATGTGTTTCATTTCATACATTCCTTTGTATCTTGACTTCGACCATATGTTGCTTGCTCTATTATAATTTATATGTATAGATTTTAAAATATCTCAGTTGTGTAGCATAGGGAGTAAAAAAGGTTCATATCAATGTTTCAATGTAAATTAAGACCAAATCTTTCATTCGCGAATGTCTCAGGTAATATTAAGCTTACTGTCGTGCTGGTAATGGCGTTGGTGAACACAGTATGTGTCGTTGTGAGCATAGGTTTAATTAAATTAAGCTTAGGTGATGTATTCTCATATACAAACATGGGATATGGAAATAATCAATATGGAATCAAAACGGCGTACTTCTGGACACATCCAGGCAAAGGTTTAGTTAAGAATCGGCTGATGCAAATAACGATTGGCGGCCGGACTTGTAACGCAGTGCACGTGAATGTTGTAGCAAGGCATGGTGCTAGATATACTGGCTTAAAAGATATGCGTTCTTTCACTTTTCTTCAACGAAAACTGAAAAACAATTTTTCCAATCAGAATTATAACTTTATAAACGACTGGGTTAATAATTACCCCGAAGAAAAGGCAGAACAACTAACAGCGCTGGGGAGAAGAGAAATGGCTTATCTAGGAAAGTACTTTGGAACTGAGCTGTTTGATTTATTAAAGGGGACATTAGGGGTAGATGGCACGCCGAAATTCTTAAATTTTACAGCTACGCATAAAGTACGGACACAAAATAGCGTTAAATTTCTCTATAGCGGTTTAGCAGACATTCTCGTCGGGCAAAATTCAACGAATATAAATCCTAAGATCAGAGATGACATTCTACGGTTTTATGACAACTGTAAAAAGTATGAGCATGATATCGCAGATAGGAGTGAGATACTAAAATTCGAGAACGGTCCAAAATTTCAAAAGATGCTCGGGGATATCACTAAGAGACTTGGTGCAAATGTTTCACTGTCAATCGGTTTGTACTCCTAGTTAATTACAAGTCTTAAAAAGGTTGAATTTTGCGTTGAAGGCAGTTTGCATTTGCCAGTACCGTCCATGAACATGGTCGAGTGGTTAACGCGTCGGACTAGTGTCACGGTTCAGAACTGTTCACTATTAAGGGGAGAAGATGTGTAAGTCGGTAGAGCCGCGGTACGGTATTCCGATGGTTCCGGGTTCGAGTCCCGGTCAGGCTGCACATTTTTCTCACCCTGTGACACTAGTTATCTAATGATCGCTAGCCGCATCGCTTCAGAGCCCGTCAGAGGCAAGTACATGTAGTTGTTTCCTTGAGCAAGAAACTTTACACTCATCTGTCAGTACCGGTTGGTTCCAGGAACAGATTCGAAAGTGTGTCTATAAGCTTATACCTTCAAACACAATCGAACTAAAATAAATTTTGTATAAACCAATCAAACTGAGTCTATTCAATTCTGCCGTTTTAGGAGTTCTTTATTTTCTCCCTGTTGCACATGTCAGAAGTAGTATTGTATTTCATTAAACTAAAATATTTTTATGAGGGTATTTTACAATGTCCAACAGCTCATGACTTGTGTTAATATAATATTATATAACCTTTACAGTGCTTCAAACTGTTTAAACCTTTTATTTCAATATTTGAAAGCTATGTTATGTTCTTGTAATTAATACACATTTATGGTAATGAGACAGATTTGTTAAATGAAACTTTGTACTTTCTTCAAGGTGACGCTAAGGTTTTGTACGTATTATGTGCCACGGAACTTGCTATTATGAACAAGGCTGACTGGTGTACCTTATTGACAGAAGACGACAGAGAAGTATTGGAATACGACAAGGACATTGAGGTAATATATTTAGATGCAGTTGACCCCCTCACCCACTGAAGCTGCTAGAAACTCTTTTTTTCTTCAAATACTTAAGTGACAATTGCTGTAAGGGAAACATTCTATATTTCGACTTTAAATTATAGAGTCGTCATTTCATCAATATATTTAGTATTAGGTATTTATTCATCACGCAAACTTTCATTTGATTTTCAATTGCAGGAGTATTTAATCAAGCTGTACGCCCACCCAGTAGTTGGTCAAATGTCATGCCCACTTGCTAAAGCTGCTTTTACAGATATGGACTCGGCTATCGCTGCAAACGATCTTGGATCAAGGTAAAATTATAATAAGTTGTATTTGATATAGTTTTATTAAGTGTAGATGAGATTCTGTAAATTAAATTCATTGAAAATAACGTTCAGACTCCAAAGTTTGAGGACGGGGTTTTCGATACTTCTAGGAAAGTTTTACATGACCAGTTTTTGAAAAAAACCTTTTTTTTATACTAAATGATTATTGTTGACCAAACTGTTTTGTAGATCTTTTTTTAATATTTTATATCTTCAAATAACTTAGATGCTTCTGTTTAAGACTTTTTCTCTTTTCGTTTTTAACAAAAACCCACAATAACTGTGTAAAAATCCTTCATATGCAAGCTCTGCAGTTAAAGGTGTTGCCACAGGACAAGTCACGCTGCTGTTTCAGGTAGGATGTTTTCAGTCTGTTGTTGGACATTTTCTCCTTTCATGGTGTTTTGATATGCATGTACCTTAACCAACGTCAACAAAATATCTAAAAATGGAATAAAAGACTGTATCAAATGAGGAGAAATGAATGAGTGAATATCGCGGGGAAATTGTATCAACTTTATTACAAAATCGAAATGCTATGTGGCCCTTCTGCACTTCCACCACGATATTTACCCATTCATGTCATGTCCTTTGTTGCCGTCTTTTTAAAATATTTTTGTTGTTGTTGGTTCAGGTGTGTGAAAAATTGAAACAATGAGGAAGAAAATATTCCCATAACAGGCTCAAAACACCAAACAATCTTCACCTGTTATGATATACATATAACATTTACATGCAAACCTCTTGATTCCCTGTATCGATACACACTTTGCTTCTGGTTAATTCTTAGGGAACCAGATGAAGGGACCTTTATATAGTTTTTTTTTGCTTCTTCTATTTAAGCTACACGAAAGGAATATTCCAAGTAGGTCATACTGACACAGTAGTTGACCTTGCCACCGGTTTAGGCCTGTTCAAGGACGCTGATGCCATTAGAGCAGGCAATTATGAGGCCATGAAGAACCGAACATTCAGGGCATCAACCCATGACACCTTCTCCTCTCATCTGGCATTTATTCTCTACAATTGTGGTGGATCAGGGGCAGATAATTATGCTTTGAAACTGGTTTACAATGGGAAACCTGTCACTATCCCAAAATGCAACAGTGAAACATGCTGGTACAGAGATTTTAGACTGGGTTACAAACATTTTATTGATGACTGTGACTGGAATAAAGTGTGCTCAGTCAATGATGGCCAGCCTATAGTAGGCTAATGAATACTTCTGTAGGTAGGATGTAGGAAGATTGGAATTTTACACAAATTTGTGCACACCTTAAACTTTTTAAAAATATATCTAGTATATTTGTATGTCATTTGCTATTGTCTTAATACTAATAAATTTGATACTTTCAGAGACTTACTTGTCATACAATTGTCAAAATGCATAAGTATACTAGCACAGTGAAAGTCATACTGTGACTTTCCGGCTTAAATTGTTTGTTTTGTTGGGTTTTAGGTCAGACAGACACCATAAAGGTTATATGGCAGTTTTCCAGCTGTTCGGTGGAGTCAAGGGCCACCTTTTACATAATTTCAGGCACAAGTGGATACCCAAGTAGAACAATCAAAAGTTCAATCAAGTAGCTGGATAACCTCCTCACAGCTTTAGTGACTTGACTAAACCTTATCTCTGTATTAAAACAGTATTATAGGCTGTGAAGAGCTACTAACTTTATGTTCTTATGTTATATTTCAGTAGCTGTTCAATGTAAACTAAGACATCCAAGACAGAGACAAGTACTTATATAAAGAAAGAAAGAAACACTGTCAATATTACAGTTTTATATTTCAGTTTTTTTCCATCAATTTTCTGCCAATTGACAATTCCATGTCCATGTGAATGTATACTATGACAAAGTACACATCAAACCATACTGTTGTGTAATTCAATGACAAAACACAAGCAAATAAAGCCAAAATAATATGTTCCCTGTACTGTAGACAATTTTGTACATAGCAAACATTCAAGCCATTACTTAAACCGTTAGCTATATGACTCAATTTCGCTTTTAAATTTCTCTCAAGAGTTAATTATTAAAATTCTCAAAGAAGGTATCAACAGTAAATCATTACAAAACATTATGAAAGGACATCAAATGATATTTTTAAATAATAACTTTTCAATTATTTTGCTATTAAGAACATCTAATATTCTTGGAATGGATTGATCAAGCAAAAATACTTATACAGAATTCTACATAGGAGGTTATTTACCAATTATTTACGCTTACTGTTACTTAGAAGTACCTGTTTCTTTATCATGTTTAATGTTGAACATGTCAAAAAGTATTTCCAGTCCGTTTTAATATCATTATTAATTATAGATAGGAATACATTGTGTATTTTGAATTAACTTAACATGCTAATTGTGTATACTGGATTTACCTTGCTTTGAATTTAGAGCAGTTCATTCAAAGTTCAAAGGGATTTTAATACCAAAATACAAAAATTGATCTGCAAACATTATAGAGTCTAGTCAGACTGCACAAAAGTTCACACTGACTTTGCTCTATAATGGTTGCAAAGGCTTACCACTTACGGTTGTTAAAAACACCGGTTTACACGATTGTTAAAAAACATCCGTACAAAATTGTCACATGTACAGGAATGGTGCACAACACATTTACAATGTATGATTATAATGATTATAATTCAAACCTCAAATTCTCTCACTTTAGATATATTTCAGAACTTAAATACAATACACTTAATAATGACTTCTGCATTAGATGTAATTCCTTAATACGTGTATGAATACTATTCATATTGTATAAAAATGTTGAGGCAAAATGTCAATATCATTAAGTTCCTATTAAAACAAATGAGAACACCCAGTAGCTCCTGTACACATTAACTTGGGCACACAAAGATGCCTGGGTAGAATCTATATACTTGATTAATAACAATTAAAGCTCTGTAACATAAATTGAACTGAACAGTAGCTTAACAAATTAGTATACTACAGCCATCAAAAAGCTTGCGAAAATTCTGAACATTTCACCACTCCATGTGATGTTATAAGAACAAATAAGCATCTTCAAGATGAAGAGTAACACATCCATGTCACCATGGTTACAAACAGTGAGAAAGCTAAGTAATTTTTCACAAGAAATTTATGATTGTAGTACCTTAATATCTATGTGTTAAGAACTATATATCCATAAACCTTAATATCTATGTGTCAAAAACTATAAACTTTATTTTTATTATCTATGTGTCAAAAACTATTCTATATAAAATCTATTACACTTAAAGAATATGATATTTTTCTTACAATTTTATGTAAAAGAAAAGAACTTATCCTTCAAAAACAGGCAATAAATGCCACTTGATGACATAAAAAAATCAAAAAATTTACACAAGTCAAAAACCTACACCCTTACATGAAAAATGAAATCCTATAACAATAATTGCACATAAATCGAGACTTACAAAATTCACTAAAAATCACAAAGAGGTAGGCCGCCTTTCAAGTGGTTAGTTACATAATACATACTTAAAATTATGATGATTCACAATGATGTACATTTGTAAACCATGCTTTATGATGATTCCCAATAGCAAACCATGCTTTCATCGTGATGGCTCACAATAGCAAACCATGCTTTGGTTCACAATGGCAAACCATGCTTTAATCATGATAGTTCACAATGGTAAACCATGCTTTAATCATGATGGTTTACAATGGTACACCATGCCTTAATCATGATGGTTCACAATGGCAAGCCATGCTTTAATCGGAATGGCTGACAATGGTAAACCATGCTTTAATCATGATAATTCACAATGGTAAACCATGTTTTATCATGGTGGTTCACAATAGCAAACCATGCTTTAATCATGATGGTTCACAATGGTAAAACATGCTTTAATCATGACAGTTCACAATGGCAAACCATGTTTTATCATTGTGGTTCACTATGGAATAACATGCTTTATATTTCAATAATACATGTATTAAATACAAGTTGGTTAAAGTGTCAATATGTTTTTCGAGATATCCAATCAGAAAATATGCATGGTAAAATAGTTTGAGAGAGAAGGTTACTTCAAGACAAGATTGTGAAATACAAGTTAGTATAAATTTTTCTAATATTCAAGAAGACCAAACAATTTGAAAAAAGAAATAAATTCCAAAATATTGGAAACTAACACAATGAAATAAATAAAAAAAAAATTTCTCATGTAAAGTTGCTTTTTTTAAAAGTTATTTATTCTTAAACTGGTTTCTTATAAAACCAGTTTCAATATAATAAACTTGCATCAAAATCATAGACTTATTGAAAAAGAAATTTTAAACAAAGTCTATAGCTGAACGATGAATTAAAATTTCTACCCAAAAGGAGAAGAAAACAACTGACACAATACACAATTAGCTACCAGTATATTACGGTAAAGCACTTATTGAAAGAACATTTTTCATATGCATATTATCATATATACCTATAACCACATCTTTAACATGCAACCAAAATATGCTGATTCTTCAACATTACAAGCATCATCATCATCATTATCATCAACAACAACAACAACAATTATATTAACATACAAAAGAGATTACTAGGAATGAGTGGATTCTACGATTTTTATCGAAAGTTTACAAACAATCTAAGCTGTAAGTTTCACTTATTTACATTTTCTAAGCATTAATTGTCTCATTTGAAGAAATTTCTTAGCAATTTTCTTCCTATTTTGGCATCGTTTATGTCTTAAACATTTTGTATATTATATTAATGCCCAAATTTAATACATGTAAACATTTCTACATATTCCTGGAGCTATGAATATACAATTTTTTTCAACAGACAGTAGATTTTTATGTCAATACCCACTGCCTTTTGTAATAATTTCTTCTTATGAGCATTATCTTTCTTCCTGATCCCATTTTTTTTAATTCAACACCATTTCTTCCTGATCCTATTTCTAAATACAATGCAGACTTTATACTTTGTTGTATTTTATGTCACTTAAACACTGTACATGTTATATGGATAGTTTGCATCTTAACTGTTGGACAAAGACCTTGGGCGCCCCTTTGTATATTATCTCAGGCACAATCATGTTCCCCCAAGTCTTTTAACCTTTACTGCGTAATGAACTTGTCCAGCTTTGATTCTGGAACTGTCCATTATGAACTTACAAGAATTTCGAAAAGATAACATTGTCTGATGTTCTAATGGGGTCTTTGATGAGTGCCCCTCACCCTAAAATGATTAATGAACTAGATATAATAACTATCACGTATTCAATGCTTCTAACTCCTAGTTCAACACACTTAACTACATGTATCATATGTGGTTATTACTTATTCTGTAAGCTCATTCTGTGCTGCAATAGCCTATGTAGAGTTCTTCAACAATATTCTCCAATTTGTTTAGCTCCTATAGCAAGATATAGATCAGGTATATCTATACTTCAAAGGTAAGAATATGAGGTGTTGAAAGTATCCAAGATATAGTGAAAGAGAGGGAAGTTGAAATACAACTGTATATCCAAAACTTGGATTTCTATTATATATTTAATGTAATTCACTAAGTTACTACAAGGGGATATAGTAAAATCCCAATGTTTTATCAAGAATTTCTCCATGGATACATAATTATGGGAAAGTCATTATAATCTGTCTATTTGTCAGATTTGCATGATTTCTTTACAATATTTCATCATTCCCCTGAAAAATCAACTGATTTCAAAAGATTTTGGGTTTACCACTTTCTGGTGTTTTGATGCTTATTTTGAATATCTTATTTATAATTATAAGAATACTATCTTGTTTAATATGTACTGAAGGGTTATCTAACACTTTCAAATTATCAATAATTAATTACTTTTGGAGTCCAAAGAATTGAAAACCAGTCTATATTTCAAAGAATCTGATTGGTTGAATCAGATTAAAGATTTGAAATCCACTAATGGCAGAGGTTTATATCCTTTACTGGTTTCCATTTTCAGTAACCATGGACCCGGCTTCACAATATCAAACCTATTAATGCTTTTAGTAAAGCTAACTACACTTGTCTCCCAGAGTGAGTTGGAATTCTTTCAATATGTACAAATTTCAATATGTACAACTGCAGATATACGAAAAATACAATTTACACGAAAAATGTACAACATTTTTAAATGAAGATGCGAAAAAATAAATAACATGATTGAATGATGATATTTGGATTTTGTGTAATGAGATAACAATACAAAAAAACAATTCTTATAACTTTATACATGACTTGTACTTATTAATAACAATGTATCTGAGCATAAGTGTTTTAACTGAGTAAGAAAACAACATGATTTTTCATTTTTGTCATAATTTCAAGTTCATAACCCTCTTATGAGGATGAACTGATTTATAACCCTAACATCACAATATCTGTGTAATGGGGACTTTCCCTGTTATGAATTTAGAATGGTACATTGTTATTTGGAAGGGGTTTCAATATAATGAGGGCTAAAATTGAGCGCCCAAATGTAGTGCGTCTTGGCAGATGGCACAGAACTTTGCCTGCTGGCCTGATTTCCGACAAGTCATATTGATCATTAAACGTTTAACCTGCCGGCTGTGACTGAATCAACCCATGTAACCAAACTGAACCAGCACTCCCGTACTGTCTGATCATGGTCATTAAGGACAAATATTAAAATTTTCCCTAAAATTATTGAAAGGTTTTTATCCAGACTGAAATGATTTAAGCAAGTCTATTTAAGACATTTAGTATGGTTAAAAGGAATAAAATCATTATTAATACATTTGTATTCAAAGTGCTCATCAAATTATAAACTACCTCATTCAGATGATTTGTGCAAAAAGACTAATATCTCAAACAAATTCATAATAAATAACATTTGTTACTTAACAAATGTTTAAAGCTGCACGACTCCAGATTCATGCTAATTTTTATGAAAATTTTGAAAATGTATTTGAATGTGTAATATTAAGAAGTAACCAAAAAGAAGCAATTTACACATTGTCAATGGCACTTTTAAACCATGTAAATTACCATAAAAAGTGGTCAAAATATGCATGAATTGCCCCTACTACGTTAACAACGCAGTAGAATCACATTGTAAATACTGAAAATCGCACATAACATGTAAAATATTACTTGAATCTTGAAACTTTTTACTTTTCCTAACATCTTAGTACATTTTTCTAAAGTTTGATTTTATTGAAATATTTTGACTCATCTGGAGGCATGTAACTTTCAAAAAATATTGGAGTTCTGTTTTATGAAAATAACCAAATATATAAGTGTTTACCCTAAGAATTCTTGTGTCAGGTATCATTTACTTTTATAATTGTAATTTCTACTTCACTTATCACTAACTTATTACTTACAATACTTAATTAATTTATGACTGACAAATAACTTCAACAATTTTTTGGGGCATTTTTTGTTAACATTATTCAATAAAAAAATAATACAATGTACACAAATATCTATTAAAAAATCTACATTTTGTACATGAGACAGTAACTGATTTGTTTTCTTTCTGAAAAAAAAAATCTGACATGAAATCTGTACCCTTACATGTCAGAGAACTACTTTTTTTTAAAAAACAGATCACAGTTTTGTATTACTACTCTACCTCATCACACCAATAATCTAAGATTCTACTTGTGACTAGAAATCTCTAGTAATATCATCTCCCCCATCTGAAAGCTGTTTGCCATATGATTTGCATTTTCTATTTTCAAAATTATTCTCCATTTATCTATATATTTTATCTCAACTAAATATACATGTTTTTTCATTTACCATAATGGATTTTTTTAAAAAGCTTTCATGTTATTACTTTGATATTAATCTGATATTCATAAACCTATATGGAAAACATGTCTTACTTCAAGTTCATAATTATGATTTGTTTAATTAATTTGTTTGCATGGTTTGACAAAACTTCATGTCAAATGTCTTTACCTAAACATTAGAATGTTCGACAACTAACTTGTGACTGCTTTTAACCCTATTCAGGCATTTAGTCAACTAATTTTTTCAGGAAATGCATGTGCCTGACCAAAAGCTAAAGATAGCAATATCATAATGCGTGATTAAACAAGATTTTTTTTTTAAGCAAGAATGTGTACAAAACAAAACAAGAGGGCCATGATGGCCCTGAGGTCGCTCACCTGTATATAGGCCCCCACAACCCCCCCCCCTCCCAACGTTGCACGGCCAATTTAACCCAAGGGCTTTATTTTGCACAAACTTGGTAGACACCCATAAGAAGATGTTTCATGCTAAACATCTAAGCTCTAGCTCATTGGGCTTTTTAAAAGAAGATTTTTTTTAAGTTTTTACGATACACATATAGTTAAAAACAATGACACCCCCGGGGCCGGGCCAATTTTGACCCCAGGGCTTTTATTTGAACAAACTTTGTAGACACTTACTAGAAGATGTTTCATGCTTAATATCTAAACTCTAGCTTTTTGGGTTTTTTCAAAGAAGATTTTAAGTTTTTGCTATACACATATAAAGAAAATCAATGACCCCCGGGGCGGGGCCAATTTTGACCCCAGGGCATTTATTTGAACAAACTTGTGACACCTATTAGAACATGTTTGATGCTAAATTTCTAAGCCATAGCTCTTTGAATTCTTTTAAAGAAGATTTTTTAAGTTTTTACTATATGCATATAGGGAAAATCAATGACCCCCCGGGGCGGGGCCAATTTTGACCCCAGGGCTTTTATTTGAACAAACTTGGTAGACACTTATTAGAACATGTTTCATGCTAAATATCTTAGCTCTAACTCTTTTGGTTCTTTAAAAGAAGATTTTTTAAGTTTTTACTATATGCATATAGGGAAAAATCAATGACCCCCTGGGGCGGGGCCAATTTTGACCACAGGGCTTTTATTTGAACAAACTTGGTAGACACCTATTAGAACATGTTTGACGCTCAATATCTTAGCCATAGCTCTTTGAGTTCTTTAAAAGAAGATTTTTTAAGTTTTTACTATATGCATATAGGGAAAATCAATGACCCCCCGGGGCGGGGCCAATTTTGACCCCAGGGCTTTTATTTGAACAAACTTGGTAGACACTCATTAGAACATGTTTGATGCTCAATATCTTAGCCATAGCTCTTTAAGTTCTTTAAAAGAAGATTTTTTAAGTTTTTACTATATGCATATAGGGAAAATCAATGACCCCCCGGGGCGGGGCCAATTTTGACCCCAGGGCTTTTATTTGAACAAACTTGGTAGACACCCATTAGAACATGTTTCATGCTAAATATCTTAGCTCTAGCTCTTTGGGTTCTTTAAAAGAAGATTTTTTAAGTTTTTACTATATGCATATAGGGAAAATCAATGACCCCCCGGGGCGGGGCCAATTTTGACCCCAGGGCTTTTATTTGAACAAACTTGGTAGACACTCACTAGAAGATGTTTCATGCCAAATATCTAAGCTCTAGCTCTTATGGTTTTTTAAAAGAAGATATTTAAAGTTTTTTCTTTCGGTTGCCATGGCAACCAGAGTTCTGCATGGAATTAAATTCTTTGAACAATTTTTAAAGGTGACCACCAAAGGAACATTCCTGTGAAGTTTGAATGAAATTGGCTTAGTGGTTTATGAGGAGATGTCATTTAAAGTAAAAGTTTACGGACGGACGGACGACGGACGGACGGCGGACGAAAAGCGATCACAAAAGCTCACCCTGTCACTTTGTGACAGGTGAGCTAAAAAAGAAACACTGTCATTGACCAAAAAAGAGAAAAATTTTGAGAATAAAAACACAAATCACAAGACAGCTTTTATAATCTTTGGTTTCTTACATCTCATGATGCCATTCATTATTTTGTAGATTATTCCTCATTCTATTAATAAATCAGATTTTTTTTTGTTATAAGCCTACAAAATAATGTTTATTCTATATAATGTTTATTCAATATAGAATAAACAAAAAACCTGTTCTAGTTTTGCTTGCGAAAATGGCTTATGGTTGGATGTTTTAACAACCAATGTTAACAGCTCTTCTGATTTTTTTTTCACAACCTTTTCGGACAGTTCCGTACTTCAATATCTTCTTATTTGTATCCTCTACGGAATTCATGGTTGTGTACCCTTCTCTCCCTTTTTATGAAGTGCACACACTGCAACTAAAGTGCCACTGGCAAGTTTAATAAAACAAATCGAAACACACAAAAATGTGGATATTCCAACTATTCTGAAAGCAACGACCTTATCATCATTTTCTATTGACTTACAGCTTATATCCGAGACTGAACAATCATCAGTGACATGACAATAAACTTTCGTAAAACGTTGGCAGATACAATAACAACATTAAATCAACTCCTTCCACCATTAAAATTACCTTAAACCTTTTTTTCCAAAAAAATAACAAGAGTATTTTTTTTATCAAGCAACACTGGCCACAAAAATAAAACAAAAACAAAAATCGTTTCATTCCTGTCGAAAAATGAATATCATGTAGATTATGTGAATAAAGTTTGTGTAACGATAATTTCCTATCTAAGACGGTTGTTAATAGCGATGTCAGATGGTGTTACGATGGCACAGTTACACGGGTATTTTCACACTCGGTTGTGGGTGGACCACAGCGGCCCTGGTCATTCTTTTGGTCCTGTAATAAAATAAAGATAGAAACATTACAATAACATAATTTAATGAAGGTTAATACTTAGGTTAAGTTTTACGTTGAATATTTTTAACTAAACTTATTATCCTACTCTAAACAAGTGAACAAATATACATGTATATTCCTCTGTACATCTTGGGATTAAACTTTGCATAAAATTTATCTAAACTCAATCAAAATACAAATGTACCAACATAATAAGTACTTATTATCCTAAACATTTTCCAAAATCAACTGTTGGTCAAACACCATTTTGACAGTCAATCTTTTGAAATATAAAGTCAATTCAGCTCAACTTGACTATGAAAATATGAGCATAATGTCACTTTAACAATTTGTAAAACGAAACAAAAGATCTAGTTCTCTTTTTAAAACTGATGTAGCCAACTTCAAAACTAATTAACTGAAAACTATTCCACATTAATATTAAGAATCATAATTAAAACTATGGAAATTATGTGTTTTACTGCAAATGGTTGAAACAAAAATGATGTAAATGAACGAAAATATGTTGAAATCATCATGCACATGAAAGCTTATATTATAAATATTTAATTTTTTTTTTTTTTTTGCATATTCAGTTCTATTCTATTCTCTCATCACTTTCCATAAAGTATCTTTGTGCCCATTTCACTGAATCTAACTAAGCACTTACAGCAACACATCCAAAATGTCCACCCATGCATTCTTCATTACAACATGTAACACATATCACTTTTCCTACATGCTTGTTAACACAAATCTAGGGTACAAACATTTAAATGCTTTGCCTACTCATAACTCCAACTGGCACTATGAAAATCACAACATTCAATCAACTTGTTACAACTATCACCATGTTAGGATCATGTGGAATATACTAGGTCAAAGAATATTAAAATCTGGGGACCAGTCCAAAAACTCTCTTGCATACGATTGGTTTACTTGAATTTTGAAAGGATTTTGATTGGCCAATGGTAAGGCTTCATTGACAGGTTTTAAAAATTTCATGACTAAAATAAAAATTATGAAAAATTTTTAGCCAAAAGTTATGTTTAGACTTGAATTACTTGATTTTCAATCCATTATGTTCTACAAACATGTTTCAATTCTTCGACTTATCTCCAAAACAACCTCAACCCGAGTCAAAGGCAACAAAACTTTGAATGGTGCAATGTCATTGATTAAAATTCAAAATGAATCTTAAAATCAACCAATCAGATGCAAGAGTTTGTGACTGGTCCACAAAATCAAACAATCTTTCATACTGTTTAAATAAGCTACCATGAATGTTAGTATTATGTATGTAAAGCTTATCTATATATTTTTTCTTCATTAATTTCATTATAGGCCAACAATGTACAGATTTGTGCATTAACAATAAGACAAATATAATATGAAATTGAAACTGTAACAATACAACAAAATATGTTGAAATAAATATAGTGATACAACAACTCTTAGCCATCTTACCCCTTCTTATAACTTCTGTAGCAAACGATAAATTAAAATCTTTATATTATAAAGAACTTGTTTTATATCTATTCTGGATAAAATGTAAAATGATAAAACTTTTATCTACAGTTCACCATAATGTCATTTTCCCCCAAATGTGGTTAGAATATTGGAGGTTGCACTAGGGATGAACTGGTGCCAATTTTTTCATGAAATGCGCTTGAAGTCTGACATATTTTTGTATCAAGCTAAGGATGTTGGACTAACACAACAGATGGTCTTTCATTTACATACCCAGACAGACTAAGCCAGAAAAAAATGAAACCACTACATAGTTGAATTTATTAAAATAAGCTATTAAAACTATTGTATTTCATGTACAGAGGTAATTATAGCTAGTGAATGTTGTGTGAACAGCCTATCAAAACCGTTGAATTTAATGTAAAAAGCCATTATAAAAACCATTGAATTTCATATAAAGAAGCCAATAAAAACCACTGAATTTCATATACAAAAGCCAATTAAAATCATTGAATTTCATGTAAAAAGCCAATAAATATCATTGAATTTCATGTAAAAAAGCTAATAAAAACCATTGAATTTCTTGTAAAAAAAAAACAACCCAATATCATTGAATTTCATGTAAAAAGTCAATAAAAAAGCATTGAATTTCATGTTAAAAGCTAACAATAGGGCCATGATGGCCCTGAGGAGGTCGCTCACCTGTATATAGGCCCCCACCCCCCCCCACAACGTTGCAGGGCCAATTTTAACCCAAGGGCTTTTATTTGCACAAACTTGGTAGACACCCATAAGAAGATGTTTCATGCTAAACATCTAAGCTCTAGCTCATTGGGCTTTTTAAAAGAAGATTTTTTTAAAGTTTTTACTATACACATATAGTTAAAAACAATGACACCCCTGGGGCGGGGCCAATTTTGACCCCAGGGCTTTTATTTGAACACCCATTAGAACATGTTTGATGCTAAATATCTTAGCTATAGCTCTTTGGGTACTTTAAAAGAAGACTTTTTAAGTTTTTACTATATGCATATAGGGAAAATCAATGACCCCCCGGGGCGGGGCCAATTTTGACCCCAGGGCTTTTATTTGAACAAACTTGGTAGACACCCATTAGAACATGTTTCATGCTAAATATCTTAGCTCTAGCTCTTTGGGTACTTTAAAAGAAGACTTTTTAAGTTTTTACTATATGCATATAGGGAAAATCAATGACCTCCCGGGGCGGGCCAATTTTGACCCCAGGGCTTTTATTTGAACAAACTTGGTAGACACCCATTAGAACATGTTTCATGCTAAATATCTTAGCTCTAGCTCTTTGGGTTTTTTAAAAGAAGACTTTTTAAGTTTTTACTATATGCATATAGGGAAAATCAATGACCCCCGGGGCGGGGCCAATTTTGACCCCAGGGCTTTTATTTGAACAAACTTGGTAGACACTTATTAGAACATGTTTCATGCTAAATATCTTTGCTCTAACTCTTTGGGTTCTTTAAAAGAAGACTTTTTAAGTTTTTACTATATGCATATAGGGAAAATCAATGACCCCTGGGGCGGGGCCAATTTTGACCCAGGGCTTTTATTTGAAACAAACTTGGTAGACACCTATTAGAACATGTTTGATGCTCAATATCTTAGCAATAGCTCTTTGAGTTCTTTAAAAGAAGATTTTTTAAGTTTTTACTATATGCATATAGGGAAAATCAATGACCCCCCGGGGCGGGGCCAATTTTGACCCCAGGGCTTTTATTTGAACAAACTTGGTAGACACCCATTAGAACATGTTTCATGCTAAATATCTTAGCTCTAGCTCTTTGGGTTCTTTAAAAGAAGATTTTTTTAGTTTTTACTATATGCATATAGGGAAAATCAATGACCCCCCTGGGGCGGGGCCAATTTTGACCCCAGGGCTTTTATTTGAACAAACTTGGTAGACACTTACTAGAAGATGTTTCATGCCAAATATCTAAGCTCTAGCTCTTATGGTTTTTTAAAAGAAGATATTTAAAGTTTTTTCTTTTGGTTGCCATGGCAACCAGAGTTCTGCATGGAATTAAATTCTTTGAACAATTTTTAAAGGTGACCACCAAAGGAACATTCCTGTGAAGTTTGGATGAAATTGGCTTAGTGGTTTATGAGGAGATGTCATTTAAAGTAAAAGTTTACGGACGGACAGCGATCACAAAAGCTCACCCTGTCACTTTGTGACAGGTGAGCTAATAAAAATCATTGAATTTCATGTAAAAAGCCATTTATCAATCATAAAATATCCTGATATCAGCTAATTAAAATCACGAATGCTAAAACTTAAAGTTCCCTTATAATATCTTATAATCTACACTGTAAAGCTCAAGCTAAAAGGCCATTAACCAGGAAGCTGTTAACCAGGAAGCTGTCTTTTGTCTGATACCTATGCTTTAAAATCAGGATAGAAAATTATTTGCCGCCGCGCTTTGGTCCAAAAGACATCTCTGAAAATGTTGCAATTAAAAATTATTACTATGATTATACAAGTTTACACAATTATTATATGAGCCGCGTCACGACAAAACCAACATAATGAGTTTGCGACCAGCATGGATCCAGACCAGCCTGCGCATCCGCGCAGTCTGATCAGGATCCATGCTGTTCGCTTACCAACCCTATTACAAGTAGAGAAACTGATAGCGAACAGCATGGATCCTGATCAGACTGCGCGTAAGCGCAGGCTGGTCTGGATCCATGCTGGTCGCAAACCCATTATGTTGGTTTTGTCATGACGCGGCTCATATGGATTTACAATGTAGAGAAGGTCTGGAAATGGTTACAGCATCATGTGGATCTAAATATTTGACAAATTGATCAAAAGTATTATTTTCTAAGGTGAATATACAGTACAAATTTGTCCATTATATAATATAATTGCAATTTGTCTACATTGTCTTCATTTCTTACTTATCTAAATAATTATAAGCACTTCTTTGGTACAATTTGTAAAGTTTGGGTTCATTTTCTATTTATAGCCATTAACTCTAGGATTCTCTACACTGTATATCTTCATAACACCTAAATCCAAAGCAATCCATGTAATCTAGCTAAGCTGAAATGTGAAAAAGTTAGATAAAAATGGGTGCCAAATTTTGTAAAACTCGACCCTTTGTTCCCAGTGCATAGTACATAGTAAAATTTTACTCATCAGTTATCTGATTTATTTCAAAAGGAAATTTGAGCCGCATCACGACAAAACCATCATAATGGCTTTGCAACCAGCATGGATCCAGACCAGCCTGCGCATCCGCACAGTCTGATCAGGATCCATGCTGGTCGCTATCAGTTTCTCTACTTGATATAGAGTTTGTAAGCGAACGGCATGGATCCTGATCAGACTGCGCGGATGCGCAGGCTGGTCTGGATCCATGCTGGCCGCAAACCCACTATGTTGGTTTTGTCATGGCACGGCTTATTTTAACTTAAGTATACAAAAATCAAATCTTTTATTCTTTGAAAAATGACGGTTGTGTAATTTTGCCTCTAAAATTAATGATTTACATTTTTTTAAGTAAATAGGTGGATGAAAACAATGCAATAGAAAGAGAATAAATATAATTTTTACATTTTTTTGTACATGATGCTGATTAATTAATCAATATTATAATTAATATTAATGAACATGCATAATTTATAAATAAAGTAATGTTTGGTAAGGGAGGAAAAAAACTAGCTATTAAGGATAAAAGCATGTTTTCAGGAAATTTAATCATATTATTCACATGGGATATAATTCAAAACTGACCTAATTTATTTTCACATATTTATGGTAAATGGGAAAATATTTTTTGATATTTTTGTTTCAATTTGATTTTAATATCACTGAAATTATGAATACTCAGCCTTCATTGAAACTTGACATATACACTGTAGCCTCGATAACTCGCTCTTCACTATAACGCTAATCTCAGTATAGCGCTCATAGACCTTGGCTCCCAAAAAAAAAAAAACTTCCCCAAAAAAAATTTTTTTTTAAGTAGACTTAGATTTATAGCACGCTATAACGCTTGCTCAATTTGACAGTCAAGTACAATAAACAATTGTTATTAGGACATTTATGAGCGCCAAAGGTGTGAAAAACATGTCCAGGTAAGCGTTTATCCGCTCTTTTGTTGTTTTACCTGTCTTTAAATTGTTTCCAAAATCTCAAATTCATATCATAACTGTGACATTGGCAACCGATGGTGAGTATAAATAAACTAAAATTCACACACATATCTTTGACATGTAAACCTCGCTCAATTAAAAAACACACAAGCCCAAAATCAATTTAAAATCCTGCAATGTAAATAGAGCGGCCATGACAGGAAGTAATTGGCGTTTGATTTACTAGGGGACACAACTAAAGCTGGACTGTAAATTACAGTGTTATTTACAGTCCAGCTTTAGTTGTGTCCCCTAGTTAATCAAAGGTCATTACAGTAATGGCTGTTTACACTACTACATTCATGATTTATAATTTTCTTTCCAAAGTTTTTCGTTTCTTTTAAATATAATTAGTATTATTTGTGAATATAATATATGTTTACATCATTGAATGGTTTTAGAAAAAGATAATGTCGATATTCATTGAACAGTAAGTACAAAAATCAGCGTTATATTTATACATGTGGTGGGTGGGGTAATGCGGTAATTTCGCAATGAGCGTTCAAGTGAGAGCCTCGTTAGAACGCGGTGTTGAGACTTTGGACCCCAACAAGAGCGCTTTAATGAGGCTGAAGTGTATTTTTTAGCATAAATTTCAGACAAGAGGCCATGACGAGGGGAGAACCAACTGTGAAATTTTTAAGATTTTTAAGAAAGTTCCAAAGCAATAAATGAAAGATAACTAATTAATTAGGGCATCTAACACAGGAACCAACAATGATGAGATCAAGACCTATCTACATTCTATGGCCACAAAGACTTTTTCACTTGAAATCTAAATAACATTTTGTGTACTAAATGTACCTATAGACCTGTCTGCTAAGAATGGCAATAAATTATCTATATCATTAATTATGACTGACTTAAGGTAAGAAAAGAAGGAAATTTAGTGTTGAAAAATTCTACAATGATTATATAATTTATTTTTGATTAAAAACTAAACTATAAAGTAATCCAGTCAAAATCTAGATATCAAAATTATTACGACCAGAAAAATCAAAGTTCTGCCTTATTCAAGTGTGAATTCCTGAAAAAGTAACATAGGATACAAAATGCAATTCCAAATACACTCTTCTAGATTTCTACTTATTTTGCAACCATATTATTACTTCAATGTCTTGCCCAAATACACATGCAGTTAGTATAATAGAGTATGCAGAAATAGTGGGTATAAATATCAGACCTGTAAACTGTCTAATACGATTCCATAGCGCAGAGCTGAAGTTACAAGTGGCAAATTTCTCAAACTCTTATTACAACTATTGAAGTGTTTCAGCAAGAAAAAAACTTGCCTATTTAATTAACATGTAATTACTTTTGTCTTTTTTTAAGGATTTAACTGCCATGTTTGTTCATAGTTTAAACTCAATTCTCTTAGGAACCAGACTGCACCGACAAAAAAACTTTTAATTTGTATCCTTTTTTTGTTTTATTTGAGTAATTAAGCAGTGAATCAAAATATATACATGTACTTAATTTTAACTTTTTAATATGTTATCATTCTTAACAAAAACTTTTTCTTATATTTGCTGGACTTGTAAAAAATTACCTATATTTATTTGGACTTACTTTTGAATACGGAGAGCTAAATTAAGTTGTAACTCAATTAAATGGTATAGATAACTTTACTACAAATCATGAGCTTCTGATTGTTAGAAATAAAGGTAAGAGGTTTTCAGAATAGAGACTTTCCTGCCTTGTTCATAAAAAGTTATCTAAATACAATAAACTTTTTCACTGTCTCACTTTTTGTTTGATACTTTCTTGTTATTCCATTCTTATTCTTTTCTTTGCATAACTGTATTAATAAACTCCTATCAGGTTATCAAATGCAAGAAATAAATCTCTACACTTCAAACTATTCTTAGCTTAGGCAATGAAAAAAACTTGTTGAAAAGAAATACAGCCAATAAGCCAAACACACAAAAAGATGAAAATTAGGTCATGATGGTGAAACATGAATACTAGTAGTCAGTGCTCTTTCATTCCCAAAAAAAATAAAACGAGAGACAATTTAATGATTAAGAAAACTTATGCAACACTATGCTTTATATAGTAGTATAAAATGAGGAGATATGATTTTTTTTTTACCAAAGAGGAACCAACTTAAACAAAAAGAATATAACAAAAGTAATCAAATGAAGGTAAGGGATCAAAAAATTACAGAGAATAATTTTTAAGCTTAAACCTCAACTTAAAAGAAAGGTAACCAAACAATCTATATCAATACTTCTACACCGAACTAATTGGATTTTTAAATTACACAAATTGGTTATATGCCTTCATGATTTGCCCATCAGTCTGTAGAACTCAATGATGCAACTATGTGCTGAAGACACAGCAAGTTTTCTTGTGTTGATTCAGTTGACGATACTTGTCTTGTGAAATGCGATTCATCCTCAATCACTGTTCTTAATGTGCATTATTATATAGATCAATTATGAAAGACAGGAATTAATGATAAAATTGTATTAGTTTGCAATGTGATATTGAAATTCAAATTCCTCAACAGATTCATTCAGCTATAGTGACATACCTTGGAGAATTGACAGGACTATTCCCACTTTTCGGGTTGCTACCTCGGGGCGGATCTTTTACAAAGTTTCGGCAGGAGGCTAACTTGTTCTCTAGTGCCTGAAAAAAATAATCATAGAAAGTATTAGTCCTGTATTTATATCAAAGTAAGAATTCCGTTCCACAAATGAAATTTCCCAACTTAACACTTTTAGAGTGTATTTACTTTCCCTTGATGTTTATGTAAACTAGAAATGTGTCATCATGCCACGGATGCCCCCGCATGCAGCCAAAATTTCAGATGGTGCATTAATTATTTTTTTCATTTTAAGTTCAAAGCCCTTAAAACTTTTCAATGTTCACACAAACCATTTCCATACAATGTTCAAGGCACTGAAATTATTCAGTCTTAACCTTTTAGAAATAGCATATTGCATATTTGTAGCCAAAATAATGGCTAAAAGAATGAGTGCTGAAACTGAAAGTTCAAAATTTTTCCAACATTCAGGAAAGATAAGTTTGTCTAAAATCATTGAACCATGACCAAATTCAAACTTAAACTGCTTATTCCTAAGATGTATCTATATTATTTTCAAAGTGAAAGGGACATAACTCTGCCAAAAAATCATCAAACCATGACCAAATTCCAACTTGACCTGCCCATTCCTTTGACATATCCATATGTCAAATTAAAGTTGAATATGTAACACTGTTGGGTAGATAATGAACAGAAACTGTAAATTTCATATTATTTTCAAAGTGAAAGGGGCATTACTCTGCCAAAAATCATTGAACCATGACCAAATTTGAACTTGACCTGCGCATTTCAAAAACATATCCATATGTCAAATTTGAGTTGAATGTGTTGTACCATTGGGGAGATAATAAACGGAAACTGAAAATTTCATATTACTTTCAAAGTGAAAGGGGCATAACTCTGCCAAAAATCATTGAACCATGACCAAATTTGAACTTGACCTGCGCATTCGTTTGACGTATCAATATGTCAAATTTGAGTTGAATGTTTAATACTGTTGGGGAGATAATAAACGGAAACTGAAAATTTCATATTATTTTCAAAGTAAAAGGGGCATAACTCTGCCAAAAATCATCAAACCATAACCAAATTCGAACTTGACCTGTATTTTCTCATGACATATCCATATGTCAAGTTTGAGTTGAATGTGTCCAACCGTTCTTAAGATAATGAACGGAAACTGAAATTTCATATTATTTTGAAAGTAAAAGGGGCATAACTCTGCCAAAAATCATCGAACCATGACCAAATTCGAACTTGACCTCTATTTTCTCATGACATATCCATATGTCAAATTTGAGTTGAATGTGTCCAACCGTTCTTAAGATAATGAACGGAAACTGATGATGACGGAATGACAGAATGACGGAAGGACGGAAGGATGGAAGGACGGAATGACGGAACAGGGTAACACTATATGCCCCGGCCATTACATGGCGGGGGCATAAAAAGCCATTATTTTAAATTTTATATTCTCCTCATAGTAATCAGGTGTAATATACATGTACAACCTCTATTTAACAATCTTCATCATAGTTTGCTAAAAGTAGAATAAAATGGCTGAATACCTGGCCTTGAAGTTATAAAACTTTTTTTCTTAGCTCTATCCCAGATCTCCAATTTTTCATTGGTCAATGTACATTCTCTGATAGTTTCTGACCAATCAAATACATGAGATATGAGTTTGAGCCTAGATAATTTCTTTATAACTGTGAACCTTGGTATACAGTTCATCGAGGGTGCAGGAAAATAATTTTAGTTATTAAAGGGAGATAATTGTTGGCATTCAATGGAGCTATTTGTAAATAAAACACTGGTTGATTTTAACTGTTTGTAAAAGTAACTAAGAAATTCTGTTATTTATTCTTTTATAGTTATTTTGAAAAAAAAAACAAGATTGCATTTGAGAAAAATGCTATGCCACCGCATTAATAAAACACTAAATAGTAGTGTAGGGACAGATTTTTTATGGTTTCTATACAATTAAAGATTGTCATTATGCATAGATCCCTGACCTATCTAATTCTTATTATCAGATTAGTGGTTGAATCTATTGTTAATCCAATAAAAGGTCAGAGTAGGAATAAATCAATGCACTTGAGTCTGGTGAATTTGGTGGTGAAGGTCATATTTCACACAGCCTAAATATCATGACTACATCAAAAGACAACACAGTTAGACACTTTGTCAAAATCAAGGTCAGCTGATATCAAAGTTCACTTTACAACTTAAACTGTGCACATGGTCAAAATTCCATTGCTGTACATCAAAAGGACAAGAAAGTAGGTCACTTTCCCCTTAGGCAAGGCAAAATTTTGACCCAAGGGTTTAATTCAAAACAATCTTGATACAGGTCCACCAAACAACATTTCAAGTCAAATATCTAAGCTGTAGCTTTCTCCCATTCAGAAAACATTTGTTTTATTTTCTGTTTTTACAATGTGTACATAATGAGAATCACTGCCCCCTGGCAGGCCAATTTTGACACAAAGGGAAAATTTTGAACAACTTTGGTAGAGGACCTATAGATGATATTACATAGAAACATCAAAGCTCTATGCCTTGTACCTTCAGACAAAAATATTTTTTTTTACTATATGTACATAATGAAAATCAATGACCCATGGGGTGGAACCAATTTTGACCCCAGGGCTATAATTTCAACAATCTTGGTAGAGGTTCAAGCCTCATAAAGTCTCATGCCATATATTTAACCTCTAGCCTTTGTCATTTCAGAGAAGAAGTTTTCAAGTTTTTACTTTATACATATAAGGAAAACTATCGCCTCTGGGGCAGGGTAATTTTAACACTAGGGGCATAATTAAAACAACTTTAGCGAGGACCCATATATGATATTATATACCAAATATCAAAGCTCTAAGCCTTGTACCTCCAGACAAGAAGTTTTTTTACTATATGTACATAGTGAAAATCAATGACCCCTGTGCCAATTTTGACTCCAGGGCTTTAATTTGTACAATTTTGCTAGAGGTTCACTACACAATGTTTCATGCAAAAAATCTTAACTCTAGCCTTTGTAAATTTAGAGAAGATGATTTTTTAAGTTTTTACTATATACATATAAGGAAAACCTATGGCCCCCGGGGCGGGGCTAATTTTGACACTAGAGACAAAATTTGAACAACTTAGGTAGAGTACCTATAGATGATATAATTTAATAAATATTAAAGCTCTAAGCCTTGTACCTTCAGACAATAAGATTTTTTACTATATGTATACATTGAAAATCAATGACCCCCGGGGCGGGGGCAATTTTGACCCAAGGGCTATAATTTGAAAAATCTTGCTAGAGGTTCACTTCACAATGTTTCATGCAAAATATCTAACCTCTAGCATTTGTCAATTGCTAGAAAAAGTTTTTTAAAGTTTTTACTATATACATATAAGAAAAACCAATGACCCCCAGGGCGGGGCCGATTGTGACCCTAGGGCTATAATTTGAACAATCTGGTTAGAGGTCTACTAGACAATGCCTTATGCAAAATATCTAAGCTCTAGGCCTTTTGGGTCTTTACAAGAAGGTATTTTAAGTTTTTACTATATGTACATATAGTGAAAATCAATGACCCCCAGGGCGGGGCCGATTTTGACCCCAGGGCTATCATTAAAACAATCTTGGTAAGGGTCTACCAGACAATGCCTTATGCAAAATATCTAAGCTCTAGGCCTTTTGAGTCTTTACATGAAGGTATTTTAAGTTTTTACTTTACATACATATAGTGAAAATCAATGACCCCCGGGGCGGGCCGATTTTGACCCAAGGGCAATAATTTGAACAATCTTGGTAGAGGTCTACCAGACAATGCTTTATGCAAAATATCTAAGCTCTAGGCCTTTTGGGTCTTTACAAGAAGACTTTTTAAATTTATACTTATAATTCCTTTTGGTTGCCATGGCAACAAGATTTCTGCATGGAATGAAATTTTTTGAACAACTTTGGAAGCCCTTCACCCAAGGATCAATCCTGCCAAGTCTGGTTGAAATTGGACAAGTGGTTTTTCACAAGAAGATTTTTGAAGTTCACTATATAATCTATATAACACACAAACAAACAAACACACACACACACACAGATGAATCGCTATATGCCACCGCATCGCAGATGCTGCGGTGGCATAAAAAAAAGGCTCTTTTATTTATATTTTTCTGGACTAGTTAAGCTAAATCGCTCTAATTTAAAGAAAAAGAAAAACATTTGAAAGGAAGTATTTACAAATAGTATTAATTCAAGTATTCAGAATATGATTGAACATTGTTATCAACTATATATTTCTTTACAAATTTTGGAAAATGTCTACACTGTTTTGTGCATTAGTCAAGTATTACACAATGTATATAAATCTAGCTTTCAAGTCCTAGTTGAATGAAGCGTGTATGGGGAAAAAAGCAGTTAAAAGTGGGTTGAACAATGTTACAGCAAACATCTAGCACTCATTGGGGTAAAATCTTGCAATAAACTTTGACCTTTGTGTTTCAATACAACTAATATGATTTTAAATGTGCTTTGGTAAAAATTTCTTTTGGTTACTGGTACACTGCCAGTAAGCGGGTATAGGGGCCAAATTAGGGTAATGTTTACAAAATGGACATGGAAATGCATTGCCTAGTGCTTGTGGGCAACCTACCAAGAACATCTGACCTACTGACCCTTGTGTTGCTAGGCAACCATCCAATGTTGGTAAGTGCTAGATGGCAAAGATGCTTGAGGAGTTGCCAAGTAAAGCACAACTTACTCGAGATTCGACATATGCAGAAAGAATGCTGATCTTCTAGGAATGGCACATGAAGCTAGCGGGACATATAAAAACATTTAATTGAGAAAAAGCACCATCTGGAAAACCATGCTCTTTACAGTCAATTGTTTTCAAAATAATACTTGTTGCTACTGAAAAAACATCTACTGCCTAGGTCATATATGACAATCCAAGGCCAGTATAAATTTATTCATAGGTTCACAGTCTTCTTTCTTTTCTGTGTTTCTACACATTCTCAAAGGGATAAACCTTCCTAAAATAACGGAATCAACTTTTGAGAATTACATTCAAGGTATATATTTGAATAACAAAAATGTTTAAGAAAAAAATCATGCAAATAAACACAGACGAAAAAACAACATGATAAAATTTCAGTATACTTTGGAACAAATGTATAATGGCCTCCTTTTTATTCGAGATACTAAAAAACTAAACTTCTCTACTGTTCTTTTAAATAAACAAGAGGGCCATGATGGCCCTGAGGTCGCTCACCTGTATATAGGCCCCTGGAGCAGGGCCAGTTTAAACGCCAGGGCTTTTATTTGAACAAACTTAAGACACCCATTAGAAGATGTTTCTTGATGTTAAGTTTTTACTACACACATATAATGAAAAACAATGACCTCTGCCCTCCCCCACCCCCTCCCCCGGCAGGGCCAATTTTTACCCAAGGGCTTTTATTTGAACAAACTTGGTAGACACCCATAAGAAGATGTTTCATCTCTAGCTCATTGGGTTTTTTAAAAGAAGATTTTTTAAGTTTTTACTATACACATATAGTTAAAAACAATGACACCCCTGTGGCATGGCCAGTTTTGACCCCAGGGATTTTATTTGAACAAACTTTGTAGACACTTACCAGAAGATGTTTCATGCTTAATATCTAAACTCTAGCTATTTGGGTTTTTTTCAAAGAAGATTTTTAAGTTTTTGCTATACACATATAAGGAAAATCAATGACCCGCGGGGCGGGGCCAATTTTGACCCCAGGGCTTTTATTTGAACAATCTTGGTAGACACCCATTAGAACATGTTTCATGCTAAATATCTTAGCTCTAGCTCTTCGAGTTCTTTAAAAGAAGATTTTTTAAGTTTTTACTATATGCATTTTGGGAAAATCAATGACCCCCTGGGGCGGGGCCAATTTTGACCCCAGGGCTTTTATTTGAACAAACTTGGTAGACACTCATTAGAAGATGTTTCATGCTAAATATCTTAGCTCTAGCTCTTTGGGTTCTTTAAAAGAAGATTTTTTAAGTTTTTACTATATGCATATAGGGAAAATCAATGACCCTCTGGGGCGGGGCCAATTTTGACCCCCGGGCTTTTATTTGAACAAACTTGGTAGACACTCACTAGAAGATGTTTCATGTCAAATATCTAAGCTCTAGCTCTTTCGGTTTTTTAAAAGAAGATATTTAAAGTTTTTTCTTTCGGTTGCCATGGCAACCAGAGTTCTGCATGGAATTAAATTCTTTGAACAATTTTTAAAGGTGCCCACCAAAGGTACATTCCTGTGAAGTTTGGATGAAAGTGGCTCAGTGGTTAATGAGGAGATGTCATTTAAAGTAAAAGTTTACGGACGGACGCTGGCCGGACGCCGGACGAAAAGTGATCACAAAAGCTCACCCTGTCACTTTGTGACAGGTGAGCTAAAAACTTAACAACAGTCACAAATGAAAGAGAATGATCCATGCAAAAAATGACAACTTTGATAAAGTTACATGAAAAAGTTATTGTGATCATACATTACTAGAATTACTACAATACAGTCTGATGATTCTATTCGCCATTTAAATGCAATTGCTTAGGTTCTGCACTGAACTATAGATCTTATATGTTCAAAATATGTCATTTCTTTTGGATTCAAACATTTTTTTTAATTTTTGGGTGTAAAACTTTAGTTATTGAAAAAGAAAAGGATAAAAGTGGAAGCACATCAAAACTTGCAAGGTTTTTTTGTCAGTTATTGGCAGAAGTACTTACTCCAACTTTTCGTAACAGATCGCCTACTATGTTAAGTGCAGATATTCGAGCCGACGGCGTGAGTGGGGTACCGCCATTCATGGTAGGGATGCCTGCAAACAAAACACAAATAATGCACAAATCACGAAATAAAAGGATCAACTAAACACAATAAATAGAGCTGTCATTGATTCAGTCTAAAGGATATGGAAGATATATCCACAAAATATTAGAATTGTCTTTTAGACAGGGCACCTGCTTCAGGTTATGTTTTGGTGAATTTTCTTCATTTCTAGAAATTATATTTACCAGTCAAAATCAATGATTTTTTCTAAATCTGATCATTTCTAGAAATTATATTTACCAGTCAAAATCAATGATTTTTTCTAAATCTGAATTGATAATCAATAAATAAAAACATATCAATGATACATCAACATCATTTCAATCGCTGACAGCTCTAACAATAAATATGTATATAAGTATAATGAATGGATTTTTATAATGAAAATGTAAGTTTATCTTTTTTTTCGTTGGTATAAGAAATGTATGTATATGGAGGTTAGAAAACATGGAGAAAACTTACATGCAGATCTAAACATGCCTATTGATAATATCAAATAATAAAGAGTATTTACATATAATAATAATAATGTAAATGTCTTAACAAAATTTACAGTTTATCCCTGGGTTGAGAGGCAGACACCTTAACCACAAGGTCTCCCTCCCCTTAAAATCAAGTACAAAGTATAAATGGTTTTACACTTCAATTATTGTATTACCCTTTAAAATTCAATAAAAGATATCTTTAAATCTTTAAAGATAAAACAACTCCATAGATAACTTTTTGCATTTTTGAAATTTCTTAGAATGCACCATATATTCCTACATACCAGATGTCAACACAGTTATTATTAAGACTTTGAAAGAAACAAAAATACATGCTGAATTAAATATTGCTTATCTACATGTATATACCCTATGGTGCAAGAAAAAAAACTTGACATTTGTATTCAAGCTATCATGCATTTCTAAATAGCAAAGAAGAGCAACCAATAGTTTCACAACTTTATTCTTTACCCTTTATATGAGCCGCGTCATGACAAAACCAACATAATGTGTTTTCGACCAGCATGGATCAGGACCAGCCTGCGCATCCGCGCAGTCTGATCAGGATCCATGCTGTTCGCTATCAGTTTCTCTACTTGTAATAGGGTTTGTAAGCAAACAGCATGGATCCTGATCAGACTGCGCGGATGCTCAGGCTGGTCTGGATCCATGCTGATCGCAAACCCATTATGTTGGTTTTGTCATGACGTGGCTCAATTATTACTTGACATATAAAACAAGACACCATGTTGCTCTGTTGTTTAAAAGAAACCTGCTATTACATTGTCAGGCAGATGTTTTCCAGTTTTCCTGGTTTTCAATACCAGTCCTAAATCATTGCAATGCCACCAGATAGAACCAATATTACCTTACACAAAACATCTTCTTTCAAGTCTTTGGGGAAAAAATGTTCCCCTGTAATTGCACAGATTGAAAGTCATAGGTGTTAAAATGATTTCTTAACCCGTACCCTGCTGTAACAGACAGTGATTAGTTTTAGCCACTCGTAAATCCAGTCTGACAAATAATGTCTAAAGACTAAATTCTAGTTTTACAGGCCCATTAAGCATCAGAAATGCTATCATATTTATTCTCCAAAAACTTTTATTTCTCTATCATGTTACAGTTTCCAAATAGTTAATCATTGGCCATATAGATGAATTATCTGTTGCTCCTTTTCTTTTTGGCAATTGGTATACAAAGTAACATGTAATTATAATATAGAGGATATTTGTTTGTTTGTGTGTAAGATAAAATTTTATTTCATCGAGTGGGCTTTAAAAACAGTATTCTCACGAGTGGCGTAGCCACAAGTGAGAATACTGTTTTTAAAGTTCACGAGATGAAATAAAATTACATCTTACACAACAAACAGACAAATTTTCTTTTTATTTTATGCTTAAAAACAAGTTAAAACAAAATTTCCATAATTTTAACGTTAATATTAAAATCTGTTTCCCCCATTGAGAGCCCCATTTAGACGGAATTTCTCATTAAAAACAAGAAGTCTTGAGCTGAAAAATAAGTCCGTCAATCAAGGTTAAATGACGGTGATATTTATTCATTTTATCAAAAAATATGAATGATCGCTTGTTTTAATAATAAAAACAAACAATTCTTGTAGGAGAAAAAGTCCAACCATCCATCCATATTTCTGTTACTTACTGCGAATTTATATTAGACCTGGCTTTGTAAAATGTAAGCGGCAGCCATTTTTTAAAGGGAGGAAAATAATTGTGTAAGATTCAGAGGGATATAATTTGGATTTGTTAGTCATACACCTTTTTAAAAGAAAGAAAACTTATTTGAGGATTGTAACAGACAAAAAATAAGTGATGACAGAAGTGAAAACATTCAGAAAAGGAGCTAGGAAAATGGAAAACTTGGAAGCTTGCTAAGGAACGCTGGGTTGTTTTACTTATTCTACGAGTGATGGCTGTCAATGCTTTTCAATTTTTCATAAAGCATACGGCAGTTATTGCTCGTAGGATACTTTAATATGCCCAAATGTCATCAAGAGCAGTTTTGCATGGGGAAGGAATGTATTTTTCAGACTGTAAAAACGAAACAAAAAAATTTAGAGACGAAATTTGGTGATTGGAATTTGAATAAATAGAAGTAAGTTTTCTCTCTTTATTACTTTTGACATTTAAGTTATTTATCTATTTCAGCTTTGCTATTTCTTTTAACAGCCTGACATTGTCAGAATTGTCAGTAAAAATAAAATTGAGGTACCACATGGGGAAAATCTTAAAAAAGTAGTTTCGTCATTGAAAAAAGTGAAATTATATTTTGATAATTTTCACTGTGAAATTATCAAATATAATTTTCACGGATAAATCAATAATCCACTGAAAAGCATAAAATAAAATTCTGTATTGTGTATGGAAGTCAAAAGACTACTTTGTCGACATTTTGCTATGTTTACGACACATTCCTGCACATTTATTGCTACATTTGTCAGTTGTTTAACATCGTAAATGCTCTAAATCCATAAGCTAAACATTATTGAAAACATATTTGACTTTTCTACAGATTTTAGAAAGTTATTGATTTCTAAAGCATAATGTGCCTTTAATAATGGCCAGTTAGCCCATTTAAGAAAATCTTAATCAGTACATTAACAGTTAAAACAGAATTGTGATGAATTTTTCCCCTTATTTTTTTTGTTTCATTTTTTTCAAATCTAGCATGCAGATACATAAACTGGTATAAAAACAACTGTCACAGCTGTTCCCTTTGTGAATACTGAATTCTCATATGATTTGTGTAGGTTTAATTTCTCACAACATATGATAGCAATTTGAGTATAACAAAACACATATCAGGTTTATTTCACTAGAAATATGTAACAGGAAAGGTTTTCCTATACAGTCATCAAATTTCTTAAACTCTATATAACATGGAGATTCCACAAACAGCAGAGTATAGTTTAGGCCAGACTTTGATTGACGCAACATGAGCTATTTATAAGTCACATGTTAATAATTTGAAAGCTTTAACAAAAGGGAAGTAACTGTAACAAAAGGTTAAATCAATTTATCATTCAGTATGTTCTTTCCCTTACAACATAAATGCGTGACACTTTTAATTACAAAAATCTGTAACCGACATTTTTTCGGTTACTCAGTTATTAGTCAAGTTTAATTATAATGATTATTTCCAAAGCATCATTTGGTATACTAAAGTCTGATAGTAAAATATGGTGCGTTTTCTGTAATAGTTCATTACAAATAACTATGTTGGACGTTTTAAAACATGTCTGGAAAAAAACTTTAGCATATCTAGTTTTTACTTTGTTTAAGCTAAAATACTGTGTTATTCTATTCAAGCAATAACCCGTATATCTCAAAGTTTCTCTCACCTTCTCATAGGTAGTCTTTTTTTCTCTATTCACTTCACACATAAGCATTCACTAATGAAATTTCAAAAGATATGGAATATGATAAACTAAAAGTGAGATATTTTCCATATTTTCACCCATAGTACATGCTTGTGAAAATCAGAAATGAAAAATCTCACATAGTTGTAAAATGACATTAGATATTATATGTTTATTGCAACACTAGCATAACTGGTTCTATAAATTCATTGAGTTAGGATAGTGTAGCTATAAACCTTCAATTTTCACTCTCAGATATACATTCATAACACCAAGATTCCCTTACCTTTGTTTGGAGTAATGTTTCCACCTTGGTCAATGTGATTTATTGTACCATTTGGTTCATTTATACTTTTATTTGACAGTTTATTATTGTTATGTGACTTTTCTTGAAGGCGACTTTCAGGGTTTGTAGGAGTTGTGGCCCCTGAACCTGACTGCGATAGAGGTTTTTCTCGTACATCAATCTCTTGTCGTAAATCTGTGAAGAAAATAAACATTGTTCGTGTAGACATATATCTGTGTACAAGAAACTAATCAGTGAAAGTAAAAAATATAAGTGAATCTGCAAAAATAACATGAAGAAATACACATCTGTGAAAATAATAGGTAGTAAAAGTCATATGGTAACTTTCTAGTTTTACTGTTTGATGAAGACCTTAGTTAACTTAATCCTTTGTGCTTTATTTCAGTTACAAGTGGGTGCGAGTAGAGTAGGTTGATGAGTAGGTCTAACAAATTTCCATAAGTCAGAGGTATAGCTTCATTACGTCAAAGAACATTAAGTCTCTAAGGGGGATTCAAACCCACAGCAACTAGGGGCAAGAGGTCAACAATCTTCGACATCAGCTTGCAGTTTTGTTGACAAAGTATATTTACTACTGAAATAAATGTGTGTATTAAAAGACAAACAAATTTTAAGCCTTTCATGCTATGGCTATGAACAAACCTCTAGCTTCATCCTTCAACCTTTGTACTGTCTCACATAATGTCTCTTTGTCATCTAATTCACTTTCTAAAAATGCATTTCTTTCTATAGCCTAAAATATATATAACTCAACATATTGATATAACTTAATTACGCAGGGGAAAAAACAAATTGTTCTACAATGGAATATCTACTGCCTATAATATACAAACAATTTTACAGCCAGAAAAATTCAATAGCATTTCAAGAAACCTTTGCTAAAACTGCCCCAAACATGATGCAAAAACACCCCCAATCACACCAGACCCCACAAAATCTTCTTGCAAATGTACCCAAACCACCCATCATCCCATTACATCTTCTAAGTTATGTTCCAGACAATAATACCCGTGGACAACTATACTGGCAAGACAAACTGATTCATATATTCCAGTATAGAGACTTTCAACTGTAAATATAGTACACAATGGTTTTTATACAGCCAAAAATGTACATTTTATAAAGGCATGTCTACAGTCAAAATAGAGAATTGCAGTTTCTTTAGCAACCTTTCGTAATAAAGAATAACACATTTTCATAAAAGGCTTGTCATTCGTGAAAAAAGTTTAAACCATCTAGTAATTTGAGCACTAAACTAAGTTAAATGTCTTAAAAGTCTTCCCAAAATATTTCATTTTCCTTTAGTTACATTATAACAAACAATAGAAATAAGCAGAGTAAGAAGAGAAGTTGCTTCCCTTTGATCAAATATGAAAAATCAACAATAAATTAAAAGATTGGGAGAGGGGAACATAAAAAATGTCAAATTTAGCTGAAAAGTACCCAGTTCAGTACACAAAAATGTTCACCCAATGATTAATTTTATAGCAAAATTCAAACTTTTCTCACAATCAGACAATACAGGCTATATTATTTTTATTATTTTGTCAATTATATGGATGAGAAAGCTCTAATTCACAGCATGCCTTGCAATGTTAATTTTGTATAAAATATATTTATAAATAACTTAATGTATGCATCATTATTCATGCAAAAAAATTAATGAGAGTTTAAAACTTATACAATATGGTTTCAAAATACATGTACTCCAAACAGAGTAAAGCCAGAAGTTGCCTAACATCTGCTTTATATTTGAAGGAGCTTTCAGCATAAAAAAACGGGTTGTTCTAACATACTGGTATCTTTTTCTCACTTTCCCACAGAAAATGCATTTCATTTTCTTGTTCAAGTTGCTGAGAAGGCTCAGGGCAGAAAATATACCAGGTTAGGTAGATTATATTAACTTTGCACCTATTCAGACAAATGGACAAGTCAGTAAGTGATAAGTGGTATACACCCGGTAGACCAATTAATTTGGAGTTTTGATGCGTATAAGATAATTAACCACTCAAGCCTACCACCCTCTTTGTCAGTTTCTACACTTCAAAACTACAAAACAGTGTTAAAAAGGCAATTAATACATTACTTTCAAACTTTTTAACCTGCATAATTATATATTCAACACTAATTGTGAAAGCAATCTATCACATAAAAGTAAACTTGCACTTGGTTACTGCATTTTTCTGTTTCAAACAGGTTATTCCCATGAATAACTAATGAGCTAAAATATAATGAATGTGTTTCTGAAATCATGCCAGCAAATGTTAAATCCTGTTCATTTTTATATCCTTTATTTTCATTTTTCTTTTGTTATTCATCTAAGGTCAATGTTACCAGAATTGTTTATTACATAATTCCAGACGGCTGGTAATGCCTACTTAGTCTTTTACAGTAGCACACCTATCTTAATTTATTGATATATAGAGGAATATACCTACCTGATTTAACCTAGTTTCAAAATCTTCTAATGATACAACTGTTGCCCTGAAAATACAAAAACGAAAAAATATATATCAAAATAAAAATATGTAACCTAGAGACACTAAAAACAGTCCTATACCACCACTTTATAGCCACATAAACATATATATTGTTGTTGTTAGACTGCTGGCTGCATGCTCAGTTAAAGTGACTCCACTGAGATTTTTTGGCATGAATCTTAAATGAAAAGCATTGCAACGCTTTTCACCCAAAATGTTTTTCACTCAAAACTCTTTTCATTCAAAACGTGCTAAGAATTGCCCCACCACCTATCGATTTTAAGTCAATTCTGAGTAGATTTCTTTATTATACTCCATTTTCAGTCCTTCAATGGATCTATGCAACAATTTCAAAGTTTATTTAGTGGAGTTCTTTTAAAGTATATTTAAAATAATTCCCTAAAACTGAAAATGGACAGTTTCAGAATCAAATAACTGAATTAAACTTGTCTAATGAGCCTTTTGATAAGGATCACTAACAAGTTAAATTAATTTTCTTATTGAGGTTAGGGCAACTCTGCTGGTATTTCTCACATAAATTGTAACATAATGAAATTTTACAATGTCATAATGTCAATAAAAAGATTTGTTAAGTAAATAGTACTTCAACTTGACAAAATTGATTTAGATGCAATATCTATATTAACTCAACCTACATTTCATACACTGAAATGTTTGCATAAGGCAATATTAAGATATGACAGTGGTGAAATGGATGGATGCCCTGCATTGTTACACTTTAGCGTGTGTGAAGTGTGGGGACAGGGAGAATACATAATGGTCTCATAGACACTGAGAAAGTCATAGTGACTTTTCAGGTTTAATGCCAAATGGTGTGTGTGTGGGGGGGGGGGGGGAAATAACTCAGGTGCATCTATATAATTATTTCAAATTATTTCAGGCACTATTGAACATCTTAAACCACTGACATTCCTCTCATGGAATTAAAGACATTGGTTGAATTCAAACCCACAGTGGTAAGGGTCCTTTAGTTTTGCTACAAGGCTAACCAAAGTAGATGAATTAAGATAATACATATACATAAGAGCATTTTATGATTTAGTAAGAAAATGATATTGAAAATGTTGATCTGATTGCCAAAATTCAAGCATTTTTGAAGCTTGATGTAGAAAATATAAATAAAATACAAGAGGACGGCAAATGAATAAACTAATGAATCATCTCACAAGCCCATACTTCTTACGTTAACAAGCACACAATAAAATAATGGGTAAGACATCATGTCTATGTAAATAAAATCATGTCAAGTGTACTCTTCATAATGTTAAGTGTATGTTACACCATTTATATTACATTAACTGAATCTGTATGATTCATTTATTGTGTTTGCCTCTATTGTACTGCTTACAAATATACTTTCTTACTATTCCATTATAATGACTGAATACACATTTATGGTATTTGTTGATGGTCTTAACAATATATGGAAAAAAAATGCTTACACCAACATTAATTTTAGACTTGTAACCTTACTGTTTCAAATGTCTGTCTGTAATATAATTTTAATGCCCACTTTTATGTTAAGCTACAACTAAAAGAAGGTACCTGGCGAGGAACACTTTTCTTAATAATGTTACAAGAATTCTAGACCATGGTTGTTACAAGTCATCACATTACTCCTATAGCCACAGGAACCTGTCACCAGTTTTATGTTTCCCATTTTTTATCTAAAAATTACATGATAGTTAAATCCCTCAGACCTCTCTCTGAAATCCTATGTTAACACACAGAAAACAAAAGTTTACCTTTTTGCTCTTTCTAAATCATCATTTGACTGTTCCAATTCTCGTATATATTTTTGTAACTCATCTTTAAATGCCCGCACTTGTAAAAGTTCACTTTCTAAATCAGATATTTGAGTATGACTTTGCCCATGTAATGTCTCTAATTTTGACTGAAAAAGAATGAAAATAATATAATTATATACACATTGATATAATTCTTGCTAGAAACCACAGCTGTCAGTAAGACAGCACATTTAACGATTCTCAATGCCTGACAGTAAGAAAAGGAGCATAACTCTGTTAAAAGGTAACTCAGAGTTATGGGACATGTGCCCATCATGTTAGATACATGTTATCATAGAGAACAAGTATGAGAATTTTCAACCATTCTTTTAAGTATTTTTAGAGATATAAACTTGCACGCAAAAACTTTAATCAAAGTGTGACTGTGACAGCGATGCTAACACCAGGGTGAGTACAAAGCTCTCCATATTTTTTAACACTGTTAAGCTACAAATGTTTATACAATAAAGCAACTCAATCTTTTAGTATCAGAGGAGTTGATTTGCTAGATATTAAGTCAAAGGTCATACAGTGAGATTTTAGCTTTACTTGTTAAAGGAAACCTCAGGTCCCCCTTTTTTTAGACTAACAAAGAACAAAGAGGCATGACTGTATTTAGTGTCAAATGTTATTTCATTTCCTGATATAGTGATTTTGGAAACATTTTTGGCGACGCCGGTGAGCGGCGTCGTCTATTATGGAACGCTTTTTATTTTTGCCTATGGAAGGAGCTGTTATTATTAGCAGTTAATTTCATGTTGTGTAAATTAGTTTTATTTTGATTCGTAAAAATCAAGTTAACAAATGTGTTGTTATATTTGTATTTAATAACTTTATGTAAAAAGCATGTGCATTGTGATATTATTTTCACGAAATTGCGGGTTAAGTTTAACAGCTTGTCCCTTAGTTTTAATGACAATACTAAAACCCGGATTTCGAATATCGTTGTGGTCTAGATTGAGGCCGTATCATTTATACATTTTCAAAATTTTCCTACAAGAAGAAAGTTCACCTGCAATTGAGTATAAGGATAGGTAATGAAACTGTTGTAAACGATTATCCTATTGATTTTATCCTTATTACATTTATCTGTTGCGCAGAATGGTTGTTTTTACAAAGTGTACCAGTATCCAGATGTTGAAAGCTATCCGATTTTCTGCAATTACTGCTGACACATGGCCATCTATTTTTTTATGAATACTTTACCATTAATTTGAATGGCTTGATAAAATTGAACCTGCAACATTTCATAATTTTGCTGTTTATCGTGTTCTTTTGGGTTTCAGGTTTTCTTTATTTTAAGGGGAAGTAACTTATGTTTACTAAATTATTTGTTCTTTTATGTCTATCTTAGGTATTACTTATAATACTATTTTTGTTGTATATAATTCACCAGTTGTAAGGTCATCAAAAGCATGTTAATGTTAATGTTAGGATTTCATATTTATTTAATATAAACTGGGAATTATTAATGTTATACGTGTGCATGTACATGTATATCTTAGACAGTAGTATATTGATATGTTGAGACTTATAATTTTTCTGCATTTAAAGAGATACAGTTATGTCATTATTATTAAAGGGATGAGACTTTCATTTAAAGTTATAAATGATAAAACATGTATTGATTGAAAATGTCCTTAAACTTGGATCAAGCAATATAATTAATAAAGTCTCAAAAATCATATTCTGAATAGTTATTCTATTTTTTTTCTAACATGTGCATAGTTTGAAAAGGACAGCTTCTGTCTTATCTATTTGTAATGAAGAGACACCGGTCTCAACATCCAGGTCTCCTGAGTCAACGCGACAACAGACTGTACATAGAGTAGATTGTTACTTGCCCTTGAATAAATTTGTGCACTAAATTTATAGTGGGTGATTTGTGCCACATGAAAACCAACATAGTACAAAAAGTAACTGGGCGCCAGATGAAAACATGAAAATACAATCTACCACAAAGTGGTTTGTTTGTTGCATTTTCATGTTTTTGCCCGGTGCCCTTGATGCAAAATACAAATCAGCCTTCATAAAATTTCTTCTTATGTTGGTCACAGGTTAATGAGTTCTGGTCAAGCTCAAAGTTTATCTCATCCTATGACTGCATATAAGCATGAGTTCAATTTCCTATGCTCTGTAACATAAGAAATTCACGAACACAAATCGATATAGTGGGGAAATATGTTGTGGTTTAGAACTGTTTCATTATTAAAAAGAAAATGTGTAGCCGGCCGGATAGCTCAGTTGGTCTTCTGAAAGTCATGGGTTCGAGTCATGGTCAGGTAGTTTCAGTCAGGGTTTAGAAATGGTTTTTCAATTGACACATGTTTGATTCATTTAACAGATTGCATTATTTGAAATGGACAAAGGCAGTATTGCATGATACTTTTAGATCTACAAAGGGCATTTGATACAGTTGAACACACTATACTGCACATGAAGAAGTTGTTTTTCTTCTTCTTCATGAAACTTCAAGCATCTGCCATATATAATGACATTCTTACATGGTTTAAGTCTTATCTCTGATAGTAGCTGGTTGATGTGGCTGGTACTTATTCTACTACTGCTCTGAGTACCTATGCTGTCCCCTGATGTTCATTTTAGGTCCTCTTTTATGTCTAATATATGTCAATTACATGTCTTCAACCCTAAGCAATAAGCTTTATTATAATGCACAGGCACGAGTATCAGACCTTGGATGAAAAAATATGACCAGATTGGTAAAAAAAACCCGTGTTCATCTTAAAAGTGTCAACAACCAAAATAAAATGTAAATAATGACCCCCTTTAAAAATATACTTCAAGTTGAAAGTATATTTTTAAAGGGGATCATTATTTACATTTTTTGTTTTGGTTTTTATAAACACAGTTTTTTTTATCAATCTGGTCATCTGGTCATATTTTTTCTTCCCAGGTCCGATACTCGTGCCAGTGATTATATGCTGATGACTCAGGAATCCTTGTGTCTCATAAATTAAATCTGAAGAAATTCTTTCTTATAACATGAGTCTTATAAGATTGCTTAATTGACTATAAATTGCCTTTGCATCTTGGCAAGACAGAGTCTATTCTTTTTTGGTTTAAGTTTCAACTTAACCTGGCCCTAGCCTCCAGGTCACATGTAATGGTACTGCTATAAAGTACACATCTTTTGTTAAGTATTTAGGTGCAAATCTGGATCAAATTCTTTTGGCGTCGCCCTTTGATGCTTTGCATCAATGCTTTTCTTGTTGACATACTGTAATAGACAGTCAAATGCTCCCTACTAGCACATGCATTCCATACATAGAAAGGCAAATTAATACCATCAATTATGAGACAATAATTCTAGTTTGAGCATCTTGAGCACCCATGCCTATCAATAGTATACATACTTAAAAACCCTTTCATTAACAATTTAGACTGACCCAAAATCCAAGCTATTATAATTATCAGCAGAATGATGGTTAAACTGGCTAATAATCTTTAGTCTATATACAAATATGACCAATTATCTTAATAGATGAATTACAAATAGACACTTTTCATAGCTGTAACTATTGCCAATATAGGATGGAATGATTTATTGCTATAATCTTAATATTTTGGCTCCATGGAGAAATAATTATGTATCATTTATCATGATACATATGTGTATTTATTTTTGAGTTAAGTACAATTGTTAATGGTGTTTCACTTTCAGTCGAACACTAGCTAGACAGCCAGTTTAATACCAAACAAATGTTTCTCTATTCTGAACAAGAAATGACCAATTTTCTGTACATAAATCATTTAAATCAGACATCAATGACATACAATTGTAATTGTACAGTCTATAGTCAAACTGTCAGTTAAAAGCATAAACCCCACCCAACATATGTAAATACTACTATTAACTATAAGAATGTACTTTTTATTAACACACTGTTGTTTTTTACCAGTTATCTTGGCATGACTTGACAATTACTGGCACAGAAATATGAAGTAAATACTATAATGATAGATTTACAACAGCCAAAAACACCAGTATGAGGTAGGGCTATTGGTGTTTGATGATGTTGTTCATAACAAACATTCCATTGTTCTCTTGCAAGTCTCTCTGTAGAATTCTTGTCATTTATGAATTTTGCTAATTATTTTTTCTTCTATGATGGCAAGTTTTCCATGTTAGAGATGCAGGAAAATATGTTTACACTATTATTTTATTACTAGATCATAAAAACAAACCAAAGTGACTATATCTATGAATATATACAACATAGAAATCATTATACAGTCCAACCCCGGTATTCGACAACCCTTTATTCGAAAGCCCGGCATTATTCGAAGTAGATTGGCTGTCCCGTTTTTATTTCTATATAAATCAATGTCAATAAAAGTGTATTATTCGAAATGCATTATCTGAATACCTCCTATTTTTCGAATCCAATTTTACAATCATGAAAGAATTTCACACCTATTATTTGAAGCCAGACTAATTGCCACAGATCCACTCGCTGACCAGTCGACTTGTGAAAAAACATCAACAGTCATGCGTGTATTTACACAATCATGATAATAACTTTAATGTCGTTACTGTTACTGTTATAAGAGCTCTTGATACGTAGTGACAACACGGCCATTATCAAGGCTTTGCACGAAACGAAACAATACATAATGTAGAATAAAATGCAAGTATTTATGTCTTCAATGCCAATAAAATATGTTTTACGCATCTTTTCCTTAATATTTATTTTCCTAAGTTGATTACAGGAAGTAAGTGTGTTGTATTCGGTAGTTTTGCTATGATTGGTCAAAGTGGAGTAGTTTTCGTCTATCACAATATTCCGATTTCGATAATTCGAACCCATCGATTATTTGAAGTAAATTTTCAGTCCCAGACACTTCGAATAAACAGGGTTGGACTGTAAATACATTGAAGACTTGCTCGAGTTTAAAGAATATGTTGGGTTTTAGAATATGTTGGGTTTTTCCCACCTAATCCAGGGGTAAAAACAAACTTTTACAGTTACAACTTTGAAAACAAAAGCCATGTCAACATGGCCATCCCCCGCCGAATGTGTTTGCTCATTGGAAGAATGTATATGTAGTTGAGCAGATAATTCTTTAATATGTTTAACAATTAAACAGAGTTTAACTTTAACCAATTTGATCTTACAGTATTATTATATAGCATATAACGGACGGACAGAAGGACAGACGGACGGAGACTATTTCTATATCCCCGCCACCTTTCGGCGGGGGATAATAAGCACAAGAGGTTGACTAATCAATCGTGACCAGTTGTGTAAAGGTATGGGGGGAATTAGCTTGGAAAAAGCACACTTGCCATTAGTTCCAAATAACATCTATTTCAAATCAGATGTACATGTACAAGCATTTTCATTTTTCTTGTAATTTTCATAAAAAAGTACTTATAAAAAGTTACAAACTTCTTACAATCAAGGATGCAATACAGATATATAATCTTCATACCTTATAAGGTCATTATTATAAAAAGTACTTATAAAGAATTACTACAATCAAAGGACGTAATATAGATACATCAAATAATTGGTAAATCACATGATGATTAGCTCACCGCAGGTTCAATAGGCCGATTGTATATCAAAATAATCGTTCCCTTTAATAGTAATTCACAATCGTCGCAACAATTGGGAGGTGCATTATCTGATTTGTCAATAATAGGTAAATATTTGTCGGACTATACAGCAAACGCTGACTTCGCGCTCATATCAATAGCTTTAATATGTTTAACAATTAAACGGAGTTTAACTTTAACCAACTTGATCTTACAGTATTATATAGCATATAACAGGTCAAGATAAAATATCTGTCATCGAGTTACATCAATTCAGAACATCATATTTTTATAAATAGCAGTTGACAGCTCAGCAAAAACTGATTATCAAAAGGTTTTAATCAATGAGACATCTGAATTATCAACATAAATTTATAACAGTATTCAATCTGCATGAATATATAGTAAATAGTTATCATTTAATTGTTTCAGGCTTTAAAGGCACATTAACTTAAATTTTCAAACATATGTAAATGTAATGTCAGAGTTAAAAAAAAGTAATATCTACAGTGGTTTTAAATATGAAAATTTAAAATTAGGGTCCACTATGACTGATGAGAGCTTTTATTGCATTTATTATATATTTGGTTTCACATTCCTTGTAAAACAAGCTTCTCTTAAGTCACAGTGACTAATTTTGATATGATTTATAAGTATTTATTTTCTAAATGGTTTAATTATCAATTAATTGAGTCCAATGTACACATACATAACTAAACCATTATTCTTATAGTGACTTTCAAACTTTGCATTCAAGTCTTTTTCACTTTTCTTAAAAGAAACAGTTACAATGCAGTTGTATCAGAAATGGAATTTACAGTCGGACACTGCAATTGACATATTTATATTTTTCTAACGAGCATGTATACAGTGCAGCATTGAACTTTGGGGAAAAAACCAAAAAAAAACATTTCTTGATTTTTACACAAAGTGTTATAATAATAAATATTAAATATTGCATATCGAGAGTATTATTTCAGAGAGAAGTTTATATACTAAACGGTCATATAAAATCTAATTGCTGAATGGTCAAAAGTCAATATAGTACACCATTAATCTGTTATTAACTGTAATTACATTAACTTATTACAGATTCAAGTCGTAACTGGGAGAAACTTAATCCAGAGTAAATCTAAACACTGTAATCATTGTAAGTACAATTTCTAACTGAAGGATTTTTATTATATTAATGTTTCTTCAGTATTTGCTGCAGTAGTTTTTTTGTTGTTTTATTTTCTTTGGCTGAATTTTGTCACATTCTCACTTTAACCCGATAGCTTCCTCACATGGAATATTTAACCTTTACTTGTAGGACTTAAACCATGGCAGGTCAGTCACAACCACTAGGACATCATTGCCACCTAGTCATTCACTCCACTCTCTTTGTACACTGTATGAAGGACTTATATCTGATGTGTTTACTTTCCTAATATCATGTTTAAATGATTTTCAATTTCAAAAATTGAGACTTGATTTTAAATGGCCTTGAATATCAATATCAAAAAAAATATTAGACACTCAGGCATTCACTTTTTAATAATGATAATTGCATTTTGCACAGCACAGAGTTCAAAATAAGACAACCTTGCTTGATGGAAGTAAATTATATCCATAGAGGAATTTATGCAGCACAAAATTACAGTAAAATTACAAGGAATTATAAAAAGTTGTCTTTTGTGAAAGCTGTCAATGTTAATAATCTTGTCTAATGGTGATCAAATGTACTGACCTTCATACTCATTTCAAACAAATTATTACCTCTCATAACTTCCTGAACAAAATTTTAGTACAATATATAACCAATTCAATATCTGAAGTACAAAACCATTATGTAATCCCATATCATACTGAAACCGAAAGTTATTAAACTTTTGCCTTTGGTATAAAGCCAAGCCTGCAAATGCACTTGCAATGTACATGCAGTCTGACCAGGCTCTATACTGTTGGCTGACTGATTACGGTTTACCAGTAGTATAGATCCAAGCCAGCCATGGCACTTGCAATGTATGTACAGTCTGACCAGGCTGTATACTCTTGGCTGACTGGTTTTACATTTTCATCTTGATATTACAAACACTGATGACAGACTAGAAGCTGGACAAGTCCAATTAAAAATTCAGCATGTTTAGAGTTTATATGATCACAACCAGACACAGGGGCGTCCGTGGCCGAGTGGTTAAGGTCGTTGACTTCAAACCACTTGCCCCTCACCGCTGTTGGTTCGAATCCCGACAGAGACTTTGGATTCTTTCATGTGAGGAAGCTATCCAGCTAGCTAACGGAACGACGGTGGTTCTACTCAGGTGCCCGTTTGTGCCTGAAATAATGCACGGAAGGGCACCCGAGGTCTTCCTCCACCAGTAAAGCTGGAACATACAAAACAACCAGACATACAATATGCCATGTGAGGTAGACTATCTACAATTTAAGAACAGAGTCACACATGTGAATAATTGTGCCCTCCTTTAAAAAAATAACAACAATGTTTTAGTCATTTTACATTGGAAATGTGAATAAAGAAATGCAATGGACAATTTTTTGGATATTATTGTTTATGAACAACCAAGTCATAGAAAAATAGTCTGATGATCAGTCACATTTTTGAACTCTTAACAGGCAAATCTAAGGTCCGCAATAGATTAGTCCAACTAATTGTACTGTGTGACGAGATCTTGTGCTATTTTCGTGTCAGGGCAATAATCTCGCCTCTACAAGCGAGATTCTGACCCAGCACAAAAATATCTCAGAATCTAGCTTTGGCACGTCAATATATTTTGACTACGCAATAGATATACCAAAGATATTTCATTTAAATCATATATCTGACTTCTCCTTAAAATCATTATATTTGTAAGACAGCACTCTTCAAATACTGAAAACATAAACTGAACATCATCTTTTTTCGTTGGTGGGTTTTTAAGTCAAAAATTTTCAGGAAAAATGTCTTATTGGGCCTGCACCTCATTTTTTAATTTATTCTACTTGTGCTTTCAAGACAGAAGTTCAAAAGAATTTGCCTACCACTGATGAACAGGTCTAATTATAAGTACTTACTTAAATAGATACATAATATTAAACACCTACAAATATCAACAACTTCACACCTGTCATGCTGAACAATAATTCTATAAGTATCACTTGACCATTATGGTAACAAAAGATTTTTCTACTTCAGACCACAAAATAACCATATCTCTTATATCAATGTTGAGGGATTTAATACATATGCATACAACAGAAAGAAAGGCCTGTCAATTCATTTACTTTATCAATTTTTACGATCTATTTATGTTTTCTTTATGCACAATTAAGCTAGTAAATAGAATATAATGTTCAGTAAGAAAGTCTTTAAGTGAACTTATAAGTGCTTAAAAGACTGAAATATGAAAGAGTTCGTTCTGCTCTGTGATTTGAAGGTTTCTAACATTTTCTAATTAAATATGGCTGTTAATGGTGATTTTTGTAAACATGCGCCCTTCAAATTATTAGTCATTTTACTAAAATAAAATTTAATTAATTCTCATAAAACCATACCCTGGTGACTTTTCGTTATGAACTGACTAAGTTATGAAAAACATGATTTAAGATATATGTAACTGAACAAGAAACATAATACAGTCAAATAAGTCATTTCAACATAAAACTGCATTTAAACAAATAGGGCAGTGGGATATAAAATATACACTGTGACATTCATTTGAACCTTTCAAATAGTTGATAAACACTGAACTTTATGCATAATCAATACATACAAATGAATGTCAAACCAATAAAAACATATTGTTCTCATTTGATCTTATAGGTCCAGCATTGTTATTGAGCAGCTATTTTCATGATCAATGAAATAAAATGGCAATAAAGTCTTTTTAATGTGGCCTTTCTGAGCAATAAAACACAGATCAGATGAAAAAACTGACTATATTATACTTAAATAACTTCCTTACTCTTAATGATTCCACTTCATGTTGTAACCTAGAATTCTCTTGTCCTAATGTTTTACTTTTCTTCTCTAATTGTTCCACCTGTGTTTCTAACTCCGCCTCGAACTCGCGACTGCTCACCTGAAAGTCCTCGAACTCTTCCCGCGTCTCCTCAAGTCTGAAACCAAATAACATATTGATGTACATGTAGCACTTATATGATTTGTTTAATTCTCTTTTTTGTTTGAATTCTATGTTACAAAGACACTCCTGTGGTTATACAAGTTGATGACTTTCCAACTTTAAGAAGACATTACTGTTACATCCAGCACCTCTTTTAATAATAAATGTATCTTAGACACAAGCAGAGACCTTGGGACCACCCACAGGACTGCTTCAAGTTCATCAAAATAACAAACTTAAAATCCCTTAACTAGGTAGATTAATAAGCAAAGATAACCTTTAACTTAACCTGCTGAAACAGAAAGTAATCAGCTTTAGCCACCAGTATAGAGTCAGGCCAGCTTGCACCTCTCTATGGTCTGACCAGGCTCTCAGTTACTATTGACAGATCAATTTACAATTTTTATCTTGATATAATGGACAGTTCCAAAAATGAAGGCTGGACAATTTCATTTAAGAAATTAGCCAGGACTCAGGTTTAAGTTAAGGATAATTTGTAGCTTGAAGTCAGTGTCATTTATTAACAATTATACAAGTACAAGTAGGTGCCAATAATATTAATAATCTACTGAATTTCCTGCCAACTTAAGTCAGCTTACAAAAAGTCTCCTAGTAATTGATGACTATTTCATATACCAATCTATCACTTGCCAGACAATTAGCTATCTTATATATCTACATGTAAGTGAATTGTTTTGAAAGTTATCACTTCAGACACAAAAGCTAGTACTGGCAAAGACCATCTTAGAACATTGAAAATGGATGTAATTTCCTGGGTAAATATTTCTGTTTATACTGCATCATGAATAGCCTCATAAGATCTGGTACAATGGTTTTGTTTGTACCATATTTATCAAAATGACCAGCTTCAATAACCGAACATGTTTCAAATCTTTAAGAGGTCGAGTATATGATATAATTTCTAAGTTAATAGTTTTAGTAACTGCTGGCCCTCCATTGACAATACTTCTATACATTCAGACTTCTTTTATGAATTGTTATAGTACACAAAATACAAATTATACAAAAACTAACCCCTTTAATCTTAGAATCCTATTATCCTAGTTCATTTTTCCTCATGGTAATTCTTGCATTTTGTGGCCACTTTGGCATCAATTCTATTTTCATTTCATGAAAGCAGAGGCCCTAATATAAACAATGTCACTTAATATGGCAAAAGGCATTTGATGATTATACCCAACTGTTTTACTTTTAAGTTTTACTATGAAAGTATGCCTACATGTATTAAAGAGGGAAATCAATTTTTAAGAAGCTGAGTTCAAATGTTTCTATGTCAATGACCTAAAACCACACAAGTTTAATATATTTAACTACCACACACCAGTCATATAGATCTTCCATTGTTTTTCATATGCACTCCAAAACACTTGTAATTTATCAGTGGTTATAAAATATAAACTGGAATTCTCTCAGGAATGTTAGACTACACACTCAATGATTCATTCATAAACTGCTGCTATAAGTACAATGTTTATAATACAGGAGCGGAGATCCTGGTTTGAAAACAAAGAACCTAATGAACTACAGTTAAACCTGCCTTAGAAGACTAGTCTATAAACATTGAATTAAAATGTATGGACAATCTCTCAAACTTGTTTGGAACAATTAAGATAGTAAAATACTTTTTTTTCTTAGAGTTTCTAAGTGTGGCCTTTCTAAAGATGATCTTATCACTGTATGTAGCTAATAGAATAATACTAGATTTTAAATGATTAGCTCTTAGAACAATTAAGTCATGTAATGCACTATTATCATGAAATGCTTGAAATTAACTTAGGACAGATGTAAAATAATGACTAAAACACAAATTTAGTATAATGATGTTATTAAAAATGTACTTAATCATTACTACTAGTCAATATCTTAGTTTCACTTGATTTATTAGTAATAAATCTTATGTTTTATTTTCCTTTTTTCTTTAACAGTCAATTGCTTCTTACCAAAAGCTTTGTTTAATTTAATCCACCAGTGAAATGTAACCATGCCAGCTTAACCACCTTGGAGGAGTGTGGGTCAAGTCTGGAATAATTCCTTTGGAAATGAACCATGTTTTTACCTTCCTGCAGTTTCTATGTTCAAGCTGAAATAGCCAAATCCATAGCGCATAGAATTTGGCAGGGACATGGATTTACCCAAGATTTTGATGCTTCAATAGTCCAAGTCATTGTGTTCTGTGGTGGAGTTATTTTCAGTACTTTTGTTCAAATGGAAAATTAAAACACAAGACAATTTGTTGTTTGTTTCACTAAGTCTTTATGCTGGTCTTGTATCACAGGTTTGATTGTAAAAGGGTATTATACAGCTTTATCTACATGAATAATATAATTACAGGTAGCCTGGAAATTACTTTTTCAGGTCAAACATAGGGGCATCATTTATCAATTTAATTATCAGGACAAGATAATGATGATTACATTAATCTTGCTTAATGCATTTTTCTGAAGCCTGACCTAGTTTTTGTTTGTTTTTCTATACCGAAGTATGAATTATTAAAGAAGACCATGATGATAATGTGATTGATGAATGCATGTGTTTATTCATGCACATACTCAGTAATCACTCATTTTCAGGTAATCCATTAATTCTAAGCAAAACGGAAAGAAATTTTATTTCAACATCATGAAGAAGTTTAAGCAATAAACCAGATTATAGACAGAAACGGATGGTTTTTAATATCATTGAACTCACAAGTTCTCATGAAGTGGTACATTCATCTTTATAGGAAATAAACAAGAAAAGCATTGATGCAAAGCATCAAAGGGCGACGCCAAAAGAATTTGATCCAGATTTGCACCTAAATACTTAACAAAAGATGTGTACTTTATAGCAGTACCATTACATGTGACCTGGAGGCTAGGGCCAGGTTAAGTTGAAACTTAAACCAAAAAAGAATAGACTCTGTCTTGCCAAGATGCAAAGGCAATTTATAGTCAATTAAGCAATCTTATAAGACTCATGTTATAAGAAAGAATTTCTTCAGATTTAATTTATGAGACACAAGGATTCCTGAGTCATCAGCATATAATCACAGGCACGAGTATCGGACCTGGGAAGAAAAAATATGACCAGATGACCAGATTGATAAAAAAAACTGTGTTTATAAAAACCAAAACAAAAAATGTAAATAATGATCCCCTTTAAAAATATACTTTCAACTTGAAGTATATTTTTAAAGGGGGTCATTATTTACATTTTATTTTGGTTGTTGACACTTTTAAGATGAACACAGGTTTTTTATCAATCTGGCCATATTTTTTCATCCAAGGTCTGATACTCGTGCCTGTGCATTATAATAAAAGCTTATAATGCTTAGGGTTGAAGACATGTAATTGACATATATTAGACATAAAAGAGGACCTAAAATGAACATCAGGGGGACAGCATAGGTACTCAGAGCAGTAGTAGAATAAGTACCAGCCACATCAACCAGCTACTATCAGAGATAAGACTTAAACCATGTAAGAATGTCATTATATATGGCAGATGCTTGAAGTTTCATGAAGAAGAAGAAAAACAACTTCTTCATGTGCAGGATAGTGTGTTCAACTGTATCAAATGCCCTTTGTAGATCTAAAAGTATCATGCAATACTGCCTTTGTCCATTTCAAATAATGCAATCTGTTAAATGAATCAAACATGTGTCAATTGAAAAACCACTTCTAAACCCTGACTAAAACTGCCTGACCATGACTCAAACCCATGACTTTCAGAAGACCAACTGAGCTATCCGTCCTGCTACACATTTTCTCTTTAATAATGAAACAGTTCTAAACCACAACATATTTCCCCACTATATCGATTTGTGTTCGTGAATTTCTTATGTTACAGAGCATAGGAAATTGAACTCATGCTTATATGCAGTCATAGGATGAGAAAAACTTTGAGCTTGACCAGAACTCATTAACCTGTGACCAACATAAGAAGAAATTTTATGAAGGCTGATTTGTATTTTGCATGAAAATGCAACAAACAAACCACTTTGTGGTAGATTGTATTTTCATGTTTTCATCTGGCGCCCAGTTACTTTTTGTACTATGTTGGTTTTCATGTGGCACAAATCACCCACTATAAATTTAGTGCACAAATTTATTCAAGGGCAAGTAACAATCTACTCTATGTACAGTCTGTTGTCGTGTTGACTCAGGAGACCTGGAGGTTGAGACCGGTGTCTCTTCATTACAAATAGATAAGACAGAAGCTGTCCTTTTCAAACTATGCACATGTTAGAAAAAAATAGAATAACTATTCAGAATATGATTTTTTGAGACTTTATTAATTATATTGCTTGATCCAAGTTTAAGGACATTTTCAATCAATACATGTTTTATCATTTATAACTTTAAATGAAAGTCTCATCCCTTTAATAATAATGACATAACTGTATCTCTTTAAATGCAGAAAAATTATAAGTCTCAACATATCAATATACTACTGTCTAAGATATACATGTACATGCACATAACATTAATAATTCCCAGTTTATATTAAATAAATATGAAATCCTAACATTAACATTAACATACTTTTGATGACCTTACAACTGGTGAATTATATACAACAAAAATAGTATTATAAGTAATACCTAAGATAGACAGAAAAGAACAAATAATTTAGTAAACATAAGTTACTTCCCCTTAAAATAAAGAAAACCTGAAACCCAAAAGAACACGATAAACAGCAAAATTATGAAATGTTGCAGGTTCAATTTTATCAAGCCATGCAAATTAATGGTAAAGTATTCATAAAAAAATAGATGGCCATGTGTCAGCAGTAATTGCAGAAAATCGGATAGCTTTCAACATCCGGATACTGGTACACTTTGTAAAAACAACCATTCTGCGCAACAGATAAATGTAATAAGGATAAAATCAATAGGATAATCGTTTACAACAGTTTCATTACCTATCCTTATACTCAATTGCAGGTGAACTTTCTTCTTGTAGGAAAATTTTGAAAATGTATAAATGATACGGC